GTGCCCCGCAATGGGGAAGGCCCCAGCAGTGAGAGGCCCGCGTACAGAAAAAAAAAAAAAAAAAAAAAAAAGAAATGATCCAAGTATCTATATCAAGAAGTTAGAAAGAGCAAAGCAAATTAAACCCAAAGAAAGTAAAAGGAATGACATTTAAAAAAGAACTATTCAAGGTTGGGAAGGCTCAGTACGGTAAAGATGGCAACTCTCCCCAGACTGACCTATAGATGTGATAAAATCCCAATTAAGATCTCATCAGATCTCTGTGTGTGTGTGGGGGGGGGGTGCAACTTGACAAGGGCCAATGGCAGGATGAGACTAGTTAGGTAGGTAGGGACAAGGTCAGATGGCCTTGTTGAGGAGTTAGAAGTTTAGACTGAATAGGGAGCAATGAAGTGCTTTTAAGCAATAAAGCAATATGAATTACATTGTAAGAAAGATCATATTGCTAGTAATGTAGGAAAAATTGGAGGCCAAAAAGTAAACTTAAAAGGCTGTTGTAATAATCTACAGATATGATGGTGGCTTTAACTGGTATAGTGGCAGTGGGAAAGGAGAGAAGTGGACAGATTCGAAGCCTACTAAGTAAGTAGAATCTCCAAGACTTGTTGATCAACTGAGTATGTGTGAAGTGGCAGAGGGAGGAATCATGGAAAATGCCTAAGTTCCTAATTTGGAAAATGGGTAAATGATGTAGAATTTGGAACTACATAATCATAGTCTTGTGACTTTTTCCTGCACTCCCAGGCAATCCAAAAATAGGAATAGAAATAATGGATATATGTGCCTAGTGGTAGAAGAGATTGGCAAAGACGTTGGAAGGTGAAGAAGGCCAAAAATTCTGTGGTAGCAAATGCATAATTAAAATGTGGAGCTATAATAATTGACCATAAGGTCCAAGCTAGTTTCATGGCCAGACTAGCACACAGTATGAGAAAACTGAGATGTGTCAATGGAGGTTAAAATGAAGATGAACAATGCGTTCAATAGAGACGGGGAGGAAAAGTTGTAGAAGGATAGAAGATCTCAAAATTGGAGATTTTGGAGGTAGAGTCTTTCAAGGTATGTTTAAATTTAAGATATAGTTGAGTTTGAGGATGACTGAGTTACCCTAGATAAAGTAAAATGGAGATCACTGGCATTAAAAAGGAGCCAAAGAATTGGTGTTAATGTTTATGTCTATGGATGTGGAAGACTCCAACATATTGTTATATACTTCTCCAGCCTTATCTCCCACTACTACTCTGCACACACTCTACTCCACACAAATCAGGCTACTCATCATTTTCCCAATGTTTTGTATTCCTGCCTCTTCACCTTTGCTTGTGAGGGACTCTCTACCTGCAATGCTGTCTTGTCCCTTGCTTCCATGTCCAAATTCTAGTCATCTTCAAGGTCAAGCCTAATACACTATCTACTCCATGAATCCTTCCCTAATTCCCGTGGCCAGAAGTAATCTCTCCTTCTTATGAATTTTCGTAACATTTTGTAATTTCCTTGGTATAGGTGACATTCTGTCTTCAGTAAACAGGATTGAAATAATGCATGTGAAAAGTAAAATGCTAAACAAATGAAATTTATTACACTAATTTTTATTTACATGATAGTTATTTAGGTACATGCCTTATCTTCCTACTGCAAACTCCTTAAGAGTAGGGACTCTATTTATTCCAATTTATTTCTCCCATAGCTTCTGACATAATGTCTCTCAGGTTAAAAAAAAAAAGTTCCATTAAATTGAATTAAACCATGGAGGCAAAAGAATTCAGGTAAACTTACATAGAAATTACCAGAACCCAGGTTTCCTAAGAGGAACATGTGCTTCCTTTAGGTCAAAGATTTTTTTTTTTCATTTTAGTTTCATCTTATTGTAATAAACAATGTATAATTAAATCACATTCTCCTGGTTTTCCTCTTACTTCATAAATCACTCATTCTCATCACCTTTTCTGGATCCTCCTCTTCTAGATCTCTAATGTTGGGAAACCCCAGGACTAGACCTTGAACCTCTTCTCTATATACGTTTACTTCCTAGGATATCTGCTCCAGTGTTACGCCTTTAAATACCGTTTATATGCTGATGACTCTCAAGTTTATATATCCAGCTCCAGGCTCTTAACTGAATTTCAGACTCAAAAAACTGCCAGCTCAACATCTCCAACTGGATACCTTATTGGCATCTGAAGTTCAACATGCACAAAACTCTTAGTTACTTTACACCCCAAATCTATTCTTGCCCTAGTCTTCCCTACTCTCAGAAAATTGCACCTTCATCCTCATTACTCGAGCCTTCAAATCTAAGAGTCAGCACTGATTTCTTTCTTTCAAATCATATATGCAAACCATATTCAATTCGTGTCAGTCCTACCTTAAAGATAATTTAATTTATTCCAAGTCAAGCCATTTCTCCCCACCTCCACTGCTACCACCTTGGCCAAATAACAATCATGTTTTCCCTGGACTATTATAAATATCTACTAATTGGACTCCCTGCTTCCATTCCTTCCTGCTTACAGACAATTCTCTACTTAGCAGCCAAATTGATCTTAGAGAATGTCAGATTATGTCATCCCCATATTCTAAACCTCCAACGGTTTCACAGCTCACTTAGAATAACATCAAAATGTTTTATCATGACCACAGGCCCCACATAATCTGGTCCCTAGCTTCCTGGGGCTGCATCTTCTACCTCTTTACACCTTACTTACTCCAGTCCTGTCATACTGTCCTTCTTGCTCTTCCTCAGTATTCCATTACTTCCTCAAGCCCTGTGTACTCTCTAAGATCTTGACAGCTAGTCAAGATAAGTGAGGTAACCTTGCACACAGGTATAGCAGATTACTCATCTTTGTTTTTCCAACACCTAACTCAATGAATGGCATATAGTGAAACTCAAAGATGTATTTGAATAAAAAAATAACTCTCTTAAAAAATTTTGAGGTTTTAACCAACCATGTGATTAAAATGTAAGCCTACATTGTGATGAAGTTGCCAAAAACATCTAATGTTACCTAAGGCTACATTAACAGAAGTGTATTGTTTGGAGAAAAGCAGGTTGTAGTTCTTCTGGTCCGACCAATTCTGGAATGTCATACATATTTGGCTTCAGATATCACATATTAAGAGGGATTCTGACCCACTGTTACATGTCAGAAAGGATATTTTTCAGAAGTGGAAAAACAGTTGTGAAAGGACTGGACTACGCCCTGTGAAGAGCCATGAAAAAAAACTGAGAATCTTTAGCTTGATGAATACTTACTTGATGACTGGGGAGGTGACATGAAAATTCTCTCCAAATAGCAGAAATTCTGCTGCATAAAAGAGAGGTTTATGCTTATTCTTGTTAGCCATAAAGGAAAGAACCAATGGTAGGAGGTTCCAAAGAGAAAGCTTTCAGTTCAACATAAGGAAGAATTTCCTGCCAGTTTTTCCCAAGTCAGTGTTCTGCAAAACAGTATACCATGTGAAACGAAACAAAGTGTCTTTTGTCTTTACTGAAGGATATCTCAGAATCCTTAATATGCAAATGTTAAGAAGATATATATGCTTCATTTCCAAAAGTTATTTATCCATAAAAACTTTTATTCACAGAGCACTGTTACTATCTCTTGAAACAATAGTTCATAGAACAGATTGAGTTAAAGCTGCTCAAAAATGAACAGAGAATCTTCTGAAGAAGCACAGTCAGGTTCACATTAAGATATCTGTGGAAACTGGATGGTGTTGCTGTCACTTCGGTATTTCGGAAAACTTGGTAACTAAGACTAGAGTATTAAAGCTTGGGAAACTGAAGCAACTTTCCTTGTTACATTTACAACGTGAGACTAACTCAACACAGTTCTAGATGAGAATAATAGAGCAAAACCAATGGAAATGAGGCTCTCTAGGACAACTGTTCTGAACTTTTCCCCCAGCAATACACTGTAGAGTCACGATATTCCCATGTCTGTCCACTGATTCATTCATTGTGTGCAAGGTAATATTTCTCAACTTCTTTCACCAACACAGCAACAAACAAAAACCTGTCATGTTCTACCACTCCTTCCCTCAACCCCCACATTTTGTTAGAATCCTGATATGGGACCATGTCCCCCATTGAGCACTGCCATTTTAGAAGCTCAAACCTAGAGTATTAATATAACTTTTTTTTTTTTAATAAACAGGAAAATCCAGGCCTAAATGAAGAAATGGCATTTAAAAATTTTGGGAAAAGTAAAACAGGAAAAATTATCAAAACAGATCCACTACTTTGAGGCCGAAGGAAGTACTAATACAAAAGGAAGTTATATTCATAAAAATACTATTGTTATTAAGTACCTGTTGCAATAAGCAAGATGATGTAATAATAAGACAAAGCTGGCCCAACAACATTGAAAAGGCAGGGGTGGAAAATTATTAGTGTCTACACAGCTGTCCACAGGAGGGCGTACTCTAGGGCTGAAACATTGTAGTCCCTAAGAAGAATGTATACTGTAGAAGAAATGGCTCATCAGGACTTCTCCAATTTATACTTGTTCTCTTTTCCAGAACCATGTTTACTATCTTTAATTTGGTTTCCAAATATCTATCAGTAGTGAGAAAGGGGATTTGGGTTAGTAGACAAAATACTGTAATTATCAGAAAGATATATCTTCTCCTATGTGTTAATAAAATGTCATTGTTTCCTACTATCTGTACTGAAAAATTAACTACGGTCCTATCAAATCTGGATACCTGAGAAGCCAGAACCAGATCACACCAGACATACCAATTCTTGAGGTCCTTGTACACAGTACAATTACACTGCTAATGAAGAAACTTGAAATACCATTTCTCTGTTATTCTGCAATTTTGCTTCTAAATCAGCACTTCAAAAAGTGGGGTCATCAGTTCTAAATGGCAGGTAAAACAATTCCTACATAACTTTGATAAGCACAGAGACTAACCTCAACTATACATTTGTGTTTTTCACAGCCATTTGGAGGTAGCAGGCCAGCTTCAGCAACACTACACAAGGTTTACCGAGTTCACTGAGAAACGGGAAGACATAGAGTCTCAGGGGCCTTGCTATAATGTACTCAAAAACCCAGTCCTAGAACTGCCTCTATCATGGGAGAAAAATAGAGGAGATTAGCTCAGATATGACACTACTTCTCTCTTCTAACCAAAAGTCGGAGTAAAAAATGCTTAAAGATGGTGATGGCCAAGATCAGAGTCAGGAATTGGGGTCTGGGCAGAGTCCAGGGAGTCATTAGAGCTTTGTCTTCTTGGTCTCCAGGTTGATCATGTTTCCTTGGATTTGGGGAATCTGCTTATCTGCTGACCCCTGAATATCCTCTAGCTTTATAGGAACATAGTAGTGGCCCATGATGGAGAAGATCAGGCAGACCACCAGCAGGAGGCAGGAAAACAAAATGAATTCGGCCCACTGCAGGAAGAAATACATATAAGAGAAGAATATGGAGAACCTGAAACTAAAGGGATCTTTATAGGACGAGGACTGGGGAGCAGATTTACCCAGGGTCACCTGTTTAGGAAGAGCTTTGGCAGGAGAAGACAGGGCTCACTGGCCTCTCCTTGCATGGGCCTATGGTAGTCATTATTGCCACTTACATGTCTATTTTTCTGGCAAAGTCTGTGGGTATCTAATCCATCTCAAGTCAGAGGGCTGAGTGGGGAATGTGGGAGACAGAGGGGAGGGGGAAGAGAGAGCAGAGGAAGTTGGAGGGAAATCCTTGGGTAGACACGTGCTCCTGCTTCCCTTAGGTCCATACCTGTACCAGGCTGCTGAACTGTGCCACAATAAGCACGATGATGTTCCCAACTGCAACTGTCAACAACCAGGCTGCCTGGAGTACAGACTTCATGCTAGAGGGAGCCTAGAGAGGACACAAATTTGTTAGTGAACAAACTCCCTACACCACCCTCATGCCCCATGCATCTATCCAGAAAACTTCTCCCACAAAAACTTCCCCTACTAAGTTCAGCTATCACATTGATTCAGGGGATGGTAATAATGTTCAGAGTAACAATAAGATGGAGCTCTTAACTGAATATTTTAATTCATTATATCATATAATCTTCATTACAACCCTAAGAGATAAGTTCTATTACTATTATTTTATACGTAAAGAAAAATAGCATTAGAGAGATATACTTGCTCAAGGTTACACATTAGGTGTGCAGCCAAAATCTGAATGTGGGCAGTTTGATTCCATAGCCCTTATTCTTAGTATTTAAGTATCCTTTTCTGGATTCCAAACAGCACAGGGATCCAGCCTGCCATTATCCTAGGAGTCAAGTTGATATTCTGTTCAGGACCATAAGGAATCTAAGGCCAAAAAATATGGAGGCCTTGGCCAGGGTCACATACCTAATTAAGGCAGTGCCAGGATTAAAACTCCATCCTCTGAGCAACAGCTCCACCTCCACCTTCCACTTGCAAAAACCTACCTGAGAATAAGAAAACTCAAGTCCTGTGACAGAGAACATGACCTCCCCAGCTGTAACAAGGGCATATTGTGGTAGCTGCCATGCGATGGACATTTTGTTGGCTGGGATATATTCCATCTTCCAGGCCTGAGGACCCTGACTGGTGCTCTTAGTAAGGGAAAGAAGAAATGGGCTTGTCAGGAGTCTCAAGTAAATATTCCTGGCCTAAAACATTTTATGGTCTTATATCCATCCCCTCATTGTATTTTTATCCTTGTGCTACCAAGCAATTTCTACACATTTTTTGCCAAGACTGTACAGACCAAACAAAACAGGACTACGTGACGAACTGGGCCCTTAGGCCTCTAATATATGATCTCTACTCTAGATGCTTATTATCCTGGCATTCAGAAACAATATATATAGCCTCTATCTTGAGCAGTATATGAGAGACAGAAGGAAAACACCAGGAATGCAAGTGTTATGGGTTGAGTTGTGTCCCCCTAAAACTCATATGTTGAAGTCCTAACCCCTAGTACCTGAGAATGTGACCTTATTTAGAAATAGGGTTGTTACAGATAGAATTAGTCAAGTTAAAATGAGGTCTCTAGGGTGGGCTCTAATCTAATGTGACTGGTGTCCTGTCCTCATAAGAGAAATTTGAACATAGACAAACATACAGGGAGAACTCCATGAGAAGATGAAGGCAGAGACTGGAGTGATTCTTTTATATAACAAGGAACACCAAATACTGCCAGAAAACCACTAGAAGCTAAAGGAAGCTAAATGAAACAGATTCTTTTTTTTTTTTTTTTTTTTTTTGGCGGTACACGGGCCTCTCACTGTTGCGGCCTCTCCCATTGCAGAGCACAGGCTCTGGATGCGCAGGCCCAGCGGCCATGGCCCACGGGCCCAGCCGCTCCGCAGCATGCGGAATCCTCCTGGACCAGGGCACGAACCCGCGTCTCCTGCATCGGCAGGCGGACTCTCAACCACTGCGCCACCTGGGAAGCTCCGAAACAGATTCTTTCTCACAGCTCTCAGAAGGAACCAGCTCTACCAACATCTTGATCTTGGACTTCTAGCCTTTATAAGGAAATAAATTTCTGTTGATAAAGCCACTCAGCTTGTGGTACTTTGTTACAGCAGCCCTAGAAAACTAATACAGCTAGGTCGGTTTAACATCAGAAAGTCAATTAATATAATATACCGTATCAATAGAAAACCATATGATTATCTCAATAGACACAGAAAAAGCATTTGACAAAATTCAACCTCCCCCCTTCATAGTAAAAAACAAACAAAACCCACAACAAACTAAGAATAGAAGGGAACTTAACCTGATACCTGATAAATACCTATGAAAACCCCACAGCTAACATACTTAGTGATAAAAGACTGAATGCTTTCCCCCTAAGAGGATGTCTACTCTCACTACTTCTATTCAATACTGTATTGGAGGTTCAAGCAAGAGCAATTAGTCAAGAAAAAGAAATAAAAGTCATCCACACTGAAAAGAAAGAAGTAAAGCTTCTTTATGCGGATGACAGGATCTTGTATGTAGAAAGTCCTAAGGGATCCATTAAAAAACTATTAAAACTATCAAATGAGTTCAGTAAGGTCGCAGGACACAAGATCAATATCAATTGTATTTCTACATATTTGCAATGAACAATCTAAAAATGAAATTAGGAAAATGATTACATTAGCAACAGCAAAATAAAGAATAAAATACTTAGGAATAAATTTAACAAAATAAATGTAAAACCTGTACTCTAAAAACTACAAAATATTGTTGAAAAATTTAGGTCTTAAAGAAGACCTAAATAAATGGAAAAACATCTCATGTTTACTGACCAGGAGACAATATTGTTAAGATAGCAAAACTCCTCAAAATTACCTACAGATTCAGTGCAATCCCTCTCAAAAATCCCAGCTGGCTTCTGATCCTAAGCTGATCCTAAAATTCATATGAAAATTCATGGAACCCATAATAGCCAAACCAATCTTTAAAGGGAAGAACTAAGTTGAAAAACTCATACTTCCTGATTTTGAAATTTACTACAAAATAACAGTAATCAAGAGATTATTGTACTGGCACAAGAATAAATATATAGATCAATAGAATAGAACTGAGAATCCAGAAATAAGCCCTCACATTTCTGGTCAACTGACTTTTGACAAGAATGTCAAGACCATTTAACGGGAAAAGACGAGTCTTGAACAAATTGTGCTGGGACAACTGGATATTCACATACAAAAGAATGCAGTTAAGCCCCAAGCTCACATCATATACAAAAATGAACTCAAAATGGATTAAAGACTTAAATATAAGAGGCAAAACTATAAAACTCTTAAAGGAAAATAATGGGCATAAATCCTCATGACACTGGATTTGGCAATGGTTTCTTAGATGTAACACCAAAAGCACAAGCAACCAAAGAAAAAAATTGATAAATTGAACATCATAAAGATTAAAAATGTTTGTACTTCAGTGGACACCATTAAGGAAGTTAAAAAGACAACCTATTGAATGGGAGGAAATATTTGCAAATCATATACCTGATAATGGACTTATGTTTAAAATATATAAGGAATGCTTACAGCTCAATAATTAAAACACAACCCAATTAGAAACTGGGCAAAGAATTTAAATAGACATTTCTCCAAAGCAGATTACAAATGGCCAAAAAGTACATAAAAAGGTGCTCAACATCATTAGTCATCAGGAAAATATAAATAAAAACCACAATGAAATACCTACTAGGATGGCTATAATTAAGAAGATAGAAAAACAAGTGTTGGCCAAGATGTAGAAAAATTGCCACCTTCTATTGGTGGGAATGTTAAATGTACGTTCACTTTGGAAAAGTCTAGCAGTTCCTCAAATGGTTAAACATAGAGTTACCATGTGACCCAACTCCACCCAAGAGAAGTGAAAATATATGTCCACACAAAAACTTGTACATGAATGTTCATAACAACATTATTTATTTTAGTCAAAAGGTGAAAACAACCAAATGTTCATCAACTGATGAATATACGAATAAAATGTGTTATACCTATACAATGGAATATTATTGGGCAATAAAAAGAAATGAAGTACTGATGTATGCTATATGAATGAACCTTAAAAAATATGCTAAATGAAAGAATCCAGACACAAAAGGCCACATGTTATAACATTCCATTTATACGAAATAGGCAGAATAGGCAAATTTATAGAGACTGAAAGTAAACAAGTGGTTGCTAGTGCTAGAGAGTATGGGAGGGAATAGTGAGTAAATGCTAATGAATATGGGGCTTCTTTTTGGAATGATGAAAATGTTCTAAAATTACACAACTCTGTGAATTTATTAAAAACCATTGAACATATATTACTGAAAATATATTCTATATATGTATTGAATATACAATATATATTGAGTATGTTAATGCATTGAAAACCATTATACACTTTAAGTGGGTGAACTGTATGGTATATGACATATCTTAATAAAGCTGTAATAAAAAATGGCATACTGAAGATATCATGCTAATTAATTAAAATAAAAATACTTTACAGATTATTCTCATCACACTTCTAGAAAGTTTCCATCTTTTTCTTATTCGCTGTCTTCTTTTTATATTTAATACAATGTCAAAAGTAATGAAATAGGGCTTCCCTGGTGGCACAGTGGTTGAGAGTCCGCCTGCCGATGCAGGGGACACGGGTTCGTGCCCCGGTCCGGGAGGGTCCCACATACTGCGGAGCGGCTGGGCCCGTGAGCCATGGCCGCTGAGCCTGCGTGTCTGGAGCCTGTGCTCCGCAATGGGAGAGGCCACAACAGTGAGAGGCCCGCGTACCACACACACACAAAAAAAGTAATGAAATAAAATTAGAAGCAAGATTCACATCAGAATTAAAATTCAGAGGTGTCATGTCCTTAGTGCTGAGACAATTGCTTTTGGTGGAGCACAGTTAATTCACCCCCCAAACTTTGTGTAGAAATTGACATTTGTTACCAGTCTTGGTATTTCAGACTGTGATATGCTAGCAGATGTTTCCAAGGAGCTAGGAGACCCACATGTGGAATCAGTCAAGAAGTCAGTCAAACAATTTTTGTTTTCTTGGGGCCATAATGAGACTGCAGCAGACCATGTCACCTCATAGCAATGACTCAAGATAAATTATGTCTACCATTCCCCAAGACCCTGTGCCTGTTGCCAGTGTTATCTCTTTTAAGTCCTCATGAAGACCTTAGTAGGTTTTCTAAAGTCACTATAGAAACTATCACCTTACACTAGAAATAAGTATGTGATGCTGTCTTGCCACAGTCTTCTTTGGGTCCCAGGATAGATACAGATTCAGATAGATATAGATTTATATATATAGATATGATATAGTTATATAGACACAAATGTAGATACAGATATATGGAAGGAGAGAGTAAGGGTGACCATGAGCTACTTACATTAGTAATAACAAACAGATAAGCTGCACCAAAGTCTAGTAGACCCAAATTCAGTGAAAAGTCCTCATTTTTTGTTTTACAAGGCACCGCAGGATATCTGGAACAGGACAAATTTAGGTTAGAATAGACATCACAGTTTAGAAAAGCATTCCCATCTCTGGAGGAAAGAGGGATTTCATCGAAAGAGTGATTTCATCTCTCTCCTGATGGTGAATCAATCAGCAAAGCTACCATTTCTCTTTGAGGAGAGGAGTCTCAGGGTGAATTATTTTCATGCCAGGTTTTTTCTACCCCGATCTGAGCTTTTCATTGTCTGTTGGCTAATTTTTTTTTAACCTTAAACCTGAATGCAGAAGGCACAAACTGTCTTCTTTTGTGAACTTCAGACTCTAAGTCTTCTCATCTAAATTTTACGAATTTTTCTCTTCTAAGTCTTATGAATTAGTGGAACAGCATAAAACAGTGAACCTGAAAGGATAAGCTCGAACGAGGTGTTAATAGGAGTTACCAAAGGGTAGGAGTGGGAGCCAATAATAAACTGGCAAACCTCCCAGAGATGGCCTTGTTGACTATACAGTATGGCCTTTACAACAAGCGTGGTCTCGATATATCTGTGCGGAAAAAGGTCAGACTGAGGGAAGGAGGCAAAGGTCGAAAGAGAGCAGGAATCTGTGTATATTTAAAATTAGCTGAGATATACCTAATCCTCCCACCTATATGCAAAGAAAGCATTTAAAAAACAGTTGTTGATAAAAGTAAAATTACAGGGGTAATGCTCTTACTCTCCTCTTTGAACAGTTCTGTAAGCAGACACACCATAGTCTTCTTCAACACCGAGGGAGGTATCTGTACCCAGGGAGATATTGATCTCTTCATGCAAAGTGTTAACAAACCTAAGGGTAGAGACATTGTTACAGATCAGACTCTCCCACCTGATAAAAGGGCAGGGGCCTTTTCTGTTTTGTTTACTGCTATATGCCTAGTGCCTAGAACAGTGGCTGGCACATAAAAGGTACGTGACGTATATTGTTAACTGGGTGAATAAATGAACTCACATGTAAGAAGCAATCAGTAGTCTTAGCTGTCCCTAACTTTTTCTTTCCTCAGGTATTAGCTTTTTATCTGCCACACTCTCACCTGATTTCAGCTGGGATGACACTATTGTGATCACCCATGGCAGTCCGAGTCTCCTTACTAACCCACCTTAGGTGCACCTAATTTCTTTCAGTCTTCTAATGGTGTAATTCATCAACTGAGACTCCACTAAGAAAAATAATTATGTGTGTGTGTGTGTGTGTGTGTGTATGTATAAATACATACCAGTATTTATATAAAACTGATACTTTATCTTCTTACAAATGAAGTCTGATTTGACTTATGCAAAACTCAGACTCCCAGCCCACAGTAGGTTGAGCTATCATTGTTTTGGGTCTGCAGATAACCCTGGACTCTTCCAGAACCATCTTTCTAGTCTTTTGAACCCGGGCCGCTAAATTGCTCCCTCAGTTTAGGTTTCTGGTAGCATTTGCGTTGGTCCCTGGCCCATGGGATTAGAAGGGCAGTTCCCTCTAAAATCCTTGATATTGATCTCTGGACATTCAATCATCCTGCACTAACCTAGAAATTGCTCCCTTTCATCCTTCCTGGAGGTTCCCATTGCTCTCTGACCCAGGGAAGTCCTATCCTCATTGTTGTCTTACTTATTTTTCATCTGTTTACTTTTTCTGAAGCTGCATATGCAAAAGCAGATTATTATGACTGTTCCACCCTTCAGTGAAATTCAAACTTTTTATTGAAAGCTCTCCTCTAAAATGCTATTCTCAACAGCAACCATCTAATCTTGATGGCCATAGGCACATGCATCTGTCTATTTCATGTCAGATTCCTGCCCCAGTGAGCAGGTGACTCCTTCAAGGCTCCATTTCTGTAAATGTCCCAGGCTAACAAGACTTTCAGCCTTATATAGATTCAAAACCAAGTCTTTTGACTTCAAGTGTGTTGCCTTTACTAAACGACGAGGCCTCTATAGGTTTATTTTAAATTTTACTTAAAAAACACAGTAACTATAAAAGATATTCAACTACCAATAACGAAGGGAGGATTATTTGCTTACTTCTAAATTTCTCTCTGGTGATCACAGAGAGGAAAGAATTCAGTTATTTTCCTAAGAGCAAGATAAGTGGATAAAATTCAGCAGAAGAGATTTATGTTGCAGAGCACAGGGCGGGTACATAAATACAGGGTCATCTTTGAATACCACATGAGAAAGCAAGCCAAAAGACCTGGTTTTGAATCTATGCTTCTCACTGCCCTGGGAAATGCCTTCTGACACTAATTCTCTTGACATTTTAGGAAGAGAATCCCTGTACAAGACAAGTAGAATGTGAAGTCTCTTCATGTGAAGCCCCACAGATCAGAAGAGACCCAAGATTCAAGAGAACAGAGAGGCCTGGGTCTCCTTGGCATCCAAACCTCATGGCTGTCATCCCATTGGTTGTTTTGTTTTCTTCATCCTTTACCTACAATAGAGGGAAGTAAACATCAGTTACAGCTGACAAGAGGGAACTGATAATCAGAAACTTTGATCATCATTCATATCCTTGGTAAGATATTGATGAGCCCAGTCATTGTACTCTAAGATAATTTGGAAACTAGGCCATTCCTCAACTTACCATCATGCTAGAAATACTTTTCCCATCTTCTCGAATGATCAGAGTGTACCATTTTTTCTCCTCCACAGAATGCTCAGTGTAGACAGACAAATTGTGATATTTCAGTTGGAAGTGGAAATTCTGGCTTTTTGTCTTCAGGTGGAGTTTGGAATAGTGTGGCATTTTCTATAGAATGAAGAGCCTGTCACACTCACCTTCTACCCCATCTTGGACATCACAATCTCATAGTAACCCAGGGCAGGTGACCTCATTAGATACTTTCAACATTACCCTTTAACCTAGTAATTCCATTTCTAGAAATATACCATAGGAGTAATTAGAGGCTTGAATAAAGATTTATGAGTACGGATGTTCATTATAGAATTATGTATAATAACAAAAAAAATTAAATACCTATAAGGAAGTATTTTACTAAGCCATGTTATATCCACAGAATAGAATATTATGTATCCATTAAAATCACATTCTCAAAGTTTACCTAAGGGCATGGGAAAATGCTTATGACGGTTAATGTTAAGAAAAAATCAAGGTCAATACAGCATATAGTGTTTCAACACTTTTTAAAAATTTGTTTATTCATTTATACAAAAATGCTAACTATGATTATCTCCATGTGATGGATTTATAGGTGGTTTTTATATCTTTTGACATACTCCCCAATTTTCTACAATAAACATATATTACTTTTATTGTTTAAAAAATATTTTTAAATGAATATTTCAGAATATGTATAATATAGTAATGAAAATATGCAAGCCAAACTCTTCCACAGGGTGTGTGTTACAAGGCAGTTTGAAATAATAACACAAATTACAACCTATTGAGAGCTTACAATGTCCCAGACATTATGCTAAGCACTTTACATATAATATTTATCCTTACAACAGCTTATGACATAAAAATTATTGCCATTTTACAGATGCTAAAACTGAGGCTTAGAGATCAAATAAACTTGTTCAGGGTCTTATAGCTAGGGAACGGCAGAATCAGGAATTGGACTGGGGCAGTTTGACTCCCCAAGTGCATGCTCTTCACCACTGTATTATGCTGCTGCCTTGGCACATAATCTGAATGTGTTTCTGATTCATTCAAGTCCATACATCACCTGAAAGGATTTGATGGACTCTGCCAACAGAGAGTTGTTTTCATCTCCCAGCACTGTAACCTTCACCTCATTATCTGCCAGATTCAAGACTTGTAGGAAAATCTCTTGGGAATCTGGTTGGGGTGGGGCCATTTCCTTAGGACAGAGAACACATGTTAGAATTACCAACAAATAACCCTTCAGATACCATGAAAACACATACCTCAGTCCTTTCTCGACAGCCTAGCTCATCTAGTCAGGAGGACACAGTTTCCTACCTCTAAAGAGCATTTGGCTTAGAAAACTCTGAAGGCAGTTTGGAGGGGGAAACACCAGCTCAATATAGCAAGCACTGATGCCAGGTAACAAACTCCATGCCTTTTGACTCAGCTGTGGCCTCATACATCATTCCCTAATAGTGGCTATTCAATCTGCCAAAAGTTATTTGTTTGAGTGCCTGGTAAGCTATCTAAAAGATGGTTATATATCTTGGATACCGGTGTTTGGAAATTCCTTGACAATATACTCTGAATCACTCAGGTGGAAGGTGGGCTTCATTTTGCACTGCTGCTTTACCCCTGTATCTACTCATTTACCACAAACATTTATTATGCACCTTCTTTAAAACAGGTACTGTGCTTAGGGCCCAGGGAATCAGGATTGAACAAGTCAGAAAAGTGAACAAAATAGGTATGGTCCTGCCCTCATGGCTTAAGATTTATTGTACTCACATTAATTTTTATCTCTACAGTAGCAGCAACTGCAAAGGCCAGGCATGCTAGGATCATACCAACAGCCATTTTCCTAAGTGATCTATAGGGGAAAGAAAGAGACAATTATAGCTAAACTGTAGACTCTAAAGAATAAAATCTAAACCCCCTAAGCTTAGCTAATTTGGTCCCAATTACTTTTCAAAGTATTGCCTCCCCTTCATATAACCTTCTTTCTACTTTTACTTGAGTTATACTGAATTGTTCTCTGTAATGCACCAAATTTTTCCCTCTATCTTTGCTTATGGTTTTTTTTAATTCATTATGTCATAATAACAAAAAATAATAGTAATATAGTCAGATTTACTGAACATTTACCATATACCAGTCACTATATATTATTACCTCCTTTTCCTCTCCTTCAGAAGTCTTTCTTGACCCTGGCCTCTCTCTTCCATCTCTGCATTTCCCTGGCACTTTGCTTTCCTTCTTAGGGCACTTAACATATTTCACCTTGTTGCAATAATTAACCTTGCATATTTTCTAGCTTCCTTACTAAAGAGTAAACTCCTTAAGAGCAAGATTTGTGCTTTTACATTTGCATAGCACTTGGTGCTGAACTCAATAAACTGCTCAATGAATGAGTAAATGACAAAAGGTCATCTGAATATGGTAAGTGGTTATCAAAAGGAAATTGCTATTAAATCAGAAATTAGAGAAGACTTAACACCCTCCTCTGTCAAACTTTACAAAGAATAACACTTCTGTTTAGAAGCGGGGGGAAAGCAGTAATTAGGGACAATTCTATCCCCACTCTTATGAGGTCCCCCATTTGTTTCATAGGGACAGTGGAAGATTTAAAGGAATTAGTTATCCTCAAAGGCATTGGACTTCTTTGAAGAGGCAACTTTCAAGAACAAAGCAACAAGTTGGTTTAGGAGCCTAATCTCACATACTTTTGACTTCCCATGAAGTATAGTCCTAACTCTTCAACATCACATACGTAAGTCTGCAGTAATGGCTTGGACTCTCTATCATAAGAATTAATTAGATCTAATTCCCGTCCTTCAGTATTAACAGGCGTTTAATCTAACATGGATAAACAGAAGCAGAAAAATGATAAATCAAAACAAATCATCACTAAGTAGAAAAGATATTGACTCTTTATCAAACTGGGCAAATGTTGAGTCAGTTTGGAGCAACATAGGCACAGTGAGCACTTACGTGAAGTTAATGCCACACTTGGAGACCAGAGGATAAATGACAAGGTCAAACAATGGGATGAAGATAAGAACCAAAAAGGGATTTAGTACCTGTAACACCATGGTAAAAAGGATTAGTTACAATGTTCTTCTATCATGAGTGTGAGCATGTGCTCTCATTTGCATGTGTGCACTCTCTCTCACATCCAAACACACTTTCATCATACTATGTACAGAATGATTCCACATCCTTCAGTCTCTTTACACCCAAGACTCTATTTCCCCTGCATAGCACATTATCTTCCAAATATCCCAAGGAACCAGTTTCACTCTGAACCTGTTTTTCTGTCAATCAACTGGGAGCTTTCCCCTCCCATTTTCACTTAACTTCTTCAGCACCACAGCCAAGGGAAAAATGTCATGGCCAGGAGAAAGGAATGAGAGAAGAAAGAACTGGGGATTGTTGAACAAGAGTTTTAAAAAATACCTGGGAGTCACCAATAAACAGAGATTCTGATTTTGTTGCTCACACAACAAAGCCTTATACTTTCTTTGACAATATTTCCATGATACTTGACATGGAAAAAAATCCAGTGCTTATATTTTCCCTGTGAGCTCAAAACTCAGTCTCCCTGGAGTCGATCAGGAGCTACTTACTTAACAGAGGATGTGAAAGAGAAGTGTGGGGCTTAAAGAGAATATTTTCATCCCTATGTTTAGCTCTCCTTAGCATACAAGGAAAAAAACATCAAATTATGGTTGGTAATCCTACTACTACAGGTAATGGTGTAGATGAGGAAAGAAATAAGTACCCGGGACTATAGAGAAGTCTCCTACCTGCATCTGGTCAGGCTGAAGCACAAAAAAACCCTGAAACATGATAACAAATCACATTAAGATGGTGGCCTAAAGACAAAAAAAAAGCCTAGATCAACCATCTTGCTAATTAGCAGGTGAGAAGCATAAGGTAAAATCTATCAGGTCTTTGGTTCAGGATCACTATTATCCTTGTAAGGGTATGCCAGGGGTGGGCGTGGGGTGTGTGGGGGGGAAGAGACTGGGAATGGCTTTAGGCTATGTCTCCTGAAGGCAGATGGGCTAAAGGGAGAATCTTATTTTCTGTTCACTATGCTTTCTTTAACTTAAAAGAGAATAAAGTCAGTATGTTCTTTATTAATCTCAGTAACTGCAGTCGTAGGTGGTAATAATATGACGGACAAGACATCATGGTTAGGGTGAAGACTCCCACTGACACACAGTGTTTCTGAAGTTGTTCTCCAGGAGGTCAAAAAGAGGACAAACATGGTAAATCCTGGACAGCCAGGGGAAGGAAAAAGGTGAAATTATATTAAGCAGGCTCCAAACAGACTGGCATCATAAAACCCTGGCATCATTCTACCCTGCCCTCTTCACAACTGAGAGGATCGAAAAACAATACAATAATCTAGGAAGTGGGAACAAATGAGAGAAGAGTTTTTGCCAATGAATGGAAATTGGAAAAAGAGGAAATAATGTTTACAATCTTCCCGTTATTTCTGTATCCATGTACAAAATTTCCCACCTCTGGGTCCTCTGCTGTTAGCCCTGCCTAAGAGATGGTGTCAATTGTGTTGTAGCAGCAATCAAACCTGCTGTGCCCTGGCCAGGCTTAAATGGAAGAAAACATCCACTTCCCCAGGCTCTATCACTTCATTTGCTATCCTCTCAATGCTTCTTTGTATACATTTAAATATTTCCATCCTTACATTTCTGATTTCTAAAGATAAGATTCTGTTTTTTATTTCTAGATTTGCTTTCTTTACTTTGCCTACTCAGTATCTTCATGCTAAAGGCACATCTCTTATGATCTTATGTCAGTTTTCAGGCAAAAACACAAAGAAATTTCTCCTTAATATGGATTATAAAGAAAATGATAGACTTCTCTGGAAAAATCTCTTCTACTCACCAAATTCCCATTCATCCTGGTGGCTTGCAAGGTCCATCGTGAGCCCTAGGGCAAACAGATACTATTAAAAGAAATTCCTTTCTCTGAGAGGGAAGGGGCTGGAGGAAGAAGGGGTAGCTTTCAAAAGAACTATTCTTTTTTTTTTTTTTTAACATCTTTATTGGAGTATAATTGCTTTACAATGGTGTGTTAGTTTCTGCTGTATAACAAAGTGAATCAGCTGTACATATATATATATTCCCATGTCCCCTCCCTTTTGTGTCTCCATTCTTACCTGCTGATCCAAAAGAGCCCAGAACATCGGCAATGGGATATAAAGAAATAGTACCCTGGTCAGTGCCTTCACATCCATAATGAGCTGCCTCTGCAAGAAGGGGTGAGAAGGAACAGGCTGAATTGCCAGATAGGGTTTTCTTGCTTAGAGTAGAAGTGGCCCAGAACAGTAAGAGAAGAGGTCAAATACAGCAGGAAGGAATCAGTTTGGACATTAGGAAAGACTACATGGAGGCATCAGATGTTTCTGCAGTTCCAACTTACTGGGTATTTCTCAACTGCCCAGTCCAGCCAGTGCTCTCGCTTTGGAATGTCCGCAGAACGGTTCTTGAAACGGTTGGAAATGGCAAACTAGGGCAGAGCGTAGATATCAGAGGAGAGACCAAAAAAACATCCCCTGCTTTTTCCAATTCATTATCTCTTCCCTCAAACACACATAACTCTTAAGTGACTTACTCCAACCTTTTGATTTCATCAGGCATTGAATTTCAGAATATTTTAAATCTAATTTTACCTATCCTTATTTTCTGTTGGCAACATACATAACTACATTTCAGAAGACTTTTGCCCATTTTTAAAAACGATTACATTATTTTTAACTTAATGGTTAAGTAGAGGCACAGAGGGAAGACCGATTAATCTCAGGTTTGCCAAAAAGCACAGAAGTAGAGCAGAGGTCATTGAGAGAAGCCATGTTTGAAGGCCTATATGCTCAGCACAGCATCTATTTCCCTTTGACTGAAAAAGGTAGGTAAACAATTCATGGACTTACCCAGATACATTTGACAACTTGAGTCACTATGTTTCCTTCAGGAGGTGGTTTTCTGTATATTTTGCTTCCCATTGCAAACACAACTGCAGTTGATAGACAAATAAGGTTCTTAGCTTCTCATTTCGCACATTCAGTATGTAAACACTAAGGACAGAATGCTGAAATATGGGAGTAACTGGCACATCTCATAAAGGGAGGGAAATGACTGACGCTATCTGACTTTAGAGTTAGAAAAACTATGGGAGCCAAAATGGTCAGTGTTCAGACTTTCCTGTTATCACAGAAATGAAAGTCACCTTTGAATTCTCACTCTTCTTTCTTCATCTCTACATCTGACATATTAGCAACTTTCACTGACCCTCTGTCTTCAGTGCATTTCCTGCCTGCCCCCTCTTTTGCATCACCACTGCTGTGACTCTTGTGTAGGACCTCACAACTTCTACCCTGCATTATCAAAATGGCCACCAACTAGTTTCTCAGTCCTGTTCTCTTCTTCTTTTATCTGATGCCAACTTAAAATCCTTTTTCCAGGACCTACCTAACAAGCCCAAACTCCTAGCATGGAAGGCCTTCCCAAATTCATTATTATCCTGGTGGTTATTATTATCATTAATGATCTCTTGAAGATTTATTATTATATGTAAAGTGTTAGGCATTTTACATTCAGTACTGATTTTACGTGACAAAATTTGTAATACTCTATTTTACACATGAAGGAATCAAGGATTAAAGAAATTAAGCAATTTGTACAAGAAAATGCCAGAAACTGCATTTTTGACCTGAGGCCTGACTCAAGAATCTATACTCTTAACCACCATAAAGCACCTCATTCATTCATTCTTGCATTACACACTGTGCTAGATACTACTGGTAATAAAGATAAAAAAGAGGTGGCCCCTGTCTGCAATGGAGCTCCCCCTCAACCTACCGCTTTCCACTTTACCTTTCATTATTCTCCATTTGGCACCTTATCCTCTAACCACTATTCATTATTCCTATGAAAAATTCTTTTCTGTTCTATTTCTGTTCTTGAGCTCATTCTCTTCCCCTCAACGCCCATCTTTAACCTTTAACCACATCTCCACAGTTATCTATAGGTGAATTTAATTTTCTTATTTTCTCCTTTATTTTACCAGCAATGAGATATTAGTTTGATAATTATAAAAAAGTAAAATTTTTTCAAGTTTATTACATTTAACTAAAATCCGTGGGAAACCTCCATCTTGGTACCCTCCCAGATGTACTTTCCTCCTGAATGGACTTCCCAGCTCTAGCAAGATGCCCCTCTAGTAGATCTTCTACTCAAGATGCTTTTCTCAGTGACCAGTAGCAATTTCCAATATCCTTACATCTAGAATGACTGAATCACCTTACTTTTCTCTATCTTAACTTTCTAATTTCTCCATTCCTCTCAGTCAGATTCACTCTACCACTTTTTCTTTATCCTCTCAGTTTCCCCAAAGCTTCTCTAAATAGCACCCTTTACCTACCACAGCCTTCTTATTGTTGATAGAAAAAATAGTTCAGAGAAAGAATGCTAATCCTGGGAGACCAGTGGGCAGATAAAGAGGTATCTAGATAAGTGGAAGATTTTGGACAGGAAATAGACTGCTCTTGAAACTAAGAATGATCCTAGAAAGAGGCTGAAATTCTCAGGAATTCTGGTCTAAAAAGTGACAGTGAAGTGATAAAAGGAAGACCTTGACAAGTTCACACTTAAATTTCAAGGCCACTTAACTAAAGAAGCTGAGTAGGGACCTTGAGTTTCTCTACCATCTCCTCCCACTAGTAGACGTTGCCTCTTACTTCACAAAGAAGATAGAAGGCTTCAAATGAAAACCCCCTCAACTTCTTGCCACCAAATCTATTAACTTCTGTATCCACACCCATCCTCTCCTCTCTCTATTTAGGTGAGGGTGATTGATGTTCCTCCTCCTGTATAAAGGCAATTGTGCCATGTGTGCTTTCATACTGATTATACTGTTTTATCTTACATCTTCAACATGTTTCTTTACTGGAGTCTTCCTAATGACATTCAAGCATGCTCAACATCCTCTCTTGACTCCATGTCACCTTTCAGCTATAAACACCGTCTTCCCTTTCATCCCTCTTATTCACTTCCCAATTTACTCTAATTAGTCTCGAATCTCCACCAATCTACCATAGATGATATCATCAAATCAATGACCCTCTTGTCGCTATATTTAATGGACATTTTCCACCCTTATCTTGCTTTCCCAGTCAGTAACATTTGTTACTTTGAATGAGTCCCTTCTTGAAATCCTCTTGGTAGCCAAGGTAGGACAACTATCACTTTGGCCATTCCTTCTTAGTCTCATTTGTGGGTTTCCCCTCTTTGCCTGTCTTTTTTTGTTGTTAACTGTTGAACCCTTTACCTAATTCAAATACAAAATTTGACCCTTAACACATTTTTATTGTAAAGGAAATACAAGAACTTACAAGTAAATGCTGGCTTGTATAAAGGTATGCTCAACACTGAAAAATCTCATTTAATAATATAAATACATAACAAAGAATTGACAATCTATATATTGGAGAAAATAATCATTATTAAGTTTTCATTACATTAAGACTCATTCCCATACAAATTTGAAACATTATTCTAAAGGTTTATGCCATAGAGATTGCCCCTTAATTTGATTCTGGCATTAATGAAATCACCCTGCTTTTCAAAATACGATGTTCTGTTTTCTGCCTCTCCATTTGCACTGGTTTTTTCCTACCTGGAGAGCCATTCCCCAACTTTTCTTCTGTGAATCTTTATTTGAATAACTTCAGTGTAACCTAGTTACTCATGCCTTTGCTGCACTTCCTTGTAGATATCTTTATTTCTGCACTTATCACAGTGAACAGAACTTCATTGTTCACTTATCTGTATCTTCACCAGGAAAATAAAATTCCTTGCAAATAGGTACCATAACTTGTTTATCTCTAATTCCTGTTGCTTAGATCATTTGACTGTCTTTTAAATACCAGTGTTCCTCACGGTTCTATCCTTGCTGTCTTTTTACCCTACTCTTATTATCTCTTAGTTATTCCATCTATTTTCATGAATTAATTGCTACCCATATATTAATAGCTCCAGATCTTTATAGCCGAAACATTTCTTCTGAACTTTAAACCTGTATTTCCAAATAAATGTTTGATACTCCCAATTAAATATTCCAAGGACATCTAAAATGTAACATGTCCAAAACTAAATTCATTGGTATTGCCCCAAACCTCTTCTTCCTTATTATCAGTTAATGACCCTACTATCTACCATTTGCTCAAGCCAGAGCCCTACATTCAATCTTGGCTTTTCTTCTCCCTTACTTTCACACATCTAATATCAAGTTTGTCAATTCTGTCAGGGCCAAGGAGGGTGAGCTAAGTGAGGCACTCACCTTGAGCACAAAATTTAAGGGAGTACCAAAATTCAGTAATCAAGACAAAGGGTATCCTTGTCTCACCCTTAACCCATTCTTTCTCCACATTACAGTCAGAAATACCACTAAAAAATAAAAATCTAACCATCATTCCCCTATTCAAAATCCTTTTGAAGCTCCCTACTAGTCTCCTGATAAAGTTCTAATTCCTTAGTAGGTTAAAAGGCCCTTCATTATCTAGTTTCTGTCAATTTCTCCTATCTTTCCATTTATGCTCCAGGCAATTTGAATTCCTTTAAGGCCTTCAAATATGTCATACTATTTCTCATCTCCTTGTCTTACAGATACCGTGTCCTATTTCTGTTTCACTTTCTATCTTTTCTTTGATTAATCTTTGAATTAATTGCTGCTAATCCTTTAGGTCTTACCTTACACATCATTTCTTTCCTGACCCTCAAAGTCTTAGTCAGATATCCCTCCTATGTGTTCCTATAGCTTTCTCTGTATTTCACCAGCTGTGACAGTGATCATACTATATTGAAATTTCCTGTTTTCTTATCTGTCTCCCTCCTCCTGCTGGACCAAATAAATTCTTTGAAAGCATGAATTCTGTAGCTATCTAATTCACCAGTGTGACCCCAATACCTAGCACAGAATCTGACACATAAATGGCTCATTAAGTCAATGTCTATCAAATTAATGAGTGAAAAAAATCAAATGAATAAATTAAATCATAGTGAAAAGTCAGAGAACTTATTTATTCATACCCAGAAAATTGAAGCAGCTGACTAGTGATGACAGCTAACACTTATTTAACATTTCATAATTTATTAAACATTTCCATTACAGCATCTCTTTTGATCTTCATAATTACTCTGATATGTAAATAATATTATTATGCAATGATCCAGAGAAAAAGATATAGTACTAATCAGAGGAAAACCAGAAAAATATTTGGCTTCACAGGGAGAAGGAAGCAGAGAATGTATTATCACAGGGCTCCAGGTATTACGCATAAATTTCCTTGGAATTGGAGTTGCAATCTGATATAATAATATTAGCCCCACCCAACCCCCCCCCACCCCCGGTAGAAAATAATCAGATGGAACATTGAGTCTCTGGGCTCTTTATCCTCTATTGAGCTCTTTCTGTGTTTGGACTGGATATCTTCCAGTGGGGGGTGTCACCCAAAGGCTCAGAGTGAGAACAGGTTTCCAGGTCAATGATTAGAAACAATCATGTCCAAGTTTCCCCTTAGGCTGTGTAAACTAAGCAACACACACATCCCCCTTCCACTTCCATTGCTGGGTTCCCTGTGGTAAAGAGAATGCCACTTGATCTAAGTTGCATCAGTTTCCCCCTACTTATCCAACTCCTCTTATTCTCTTTGCTTAAGAGCAAACTTCTTGGGAGCACTGCAGAGCAGGGCAGAAACAGCTAAACCGGGCTTCCCTGGTGGCGCAGTGCTTGAGAGTCCGCCTGCCGATGCAGGAGACGCGGGGTCGTACCCCGTTTCGGGAGGATCCCACATGCCGCGGAGCGGCTGGGCCCGTGAGCCGTGGCCGCTGGGCCTGCGCGTCCGGAGCCTGTGCTCCGCAAATGGGAGAGGCCACAACAGTGAGAGGCCCGCATAACGCAAGAAAAAAAAAAAAAAAGAAACAGCTAAACCTAGAAGCTACTTTAAAAGGCCCAACGAATTTTAAAAGTCTTTCAATTACCAGATAAATAACCATCAGATGAAATAAGCTAGTTCAAAAGGAAGGATTAATTATTTTCCTTGCTTCATTATATACTGTAGTGTAGATCAGTACATCTCAACCTTGACTACACATTAGAATCACCTAGATACTTAAAAAATTACAGAAGCCAAGGCCTTATCCCACAGAGATCCTGATTTAATTAGTCCTACATAGGGTCCAGGGATCAGTCTTTTTTAAAGCTCTCTAGGAAACTTCTTATTAGTTATGTAACCTTGGGCACTTTTTTTGAGGTTTCTGACTTTATTCAGTTAATTTATCTCCAACGTCTAGGGTAAACCCCTACAATAACACTTACCTAATAGGTTAGTGTGAGGACTGAATGAAATAGTTTGTGTAAAGTGCTTACATCATGCTTTACATGTGGAAGGCATCAGTGGCTATTAGTTTCCTTTGCCCCACTGCACTTACCAAGAGCTATCACCATAAGCAATCCTGGAACTCCAAAAGCCAATGCATAGCAGTCTTTTCCAAAACATTGCACATCTCCTGCAGGAAAACAAAACAAAACAAAACAAATTAATCCTGAATCTTAAGTCTTTGATGTTCTATTCTGTAAGCTCAGGTTTTTGAGGTCATAGACATAGCCATCCTCTTTCTTCCCATCACCTAATCCACAATCCTTCTTTTGGGCCAGACAAAGCAAGATTAAAAGAAATTCTCTCAGATTTTCAAACCCTTATAAAAGGAGAAGATGGACAGGAAGAAGCCTTGAACAGATTTCTGGCTGGCCTGAGTAAAGCTTATACAGAGTCCCTCAGAAAAGATCCCAACCTCTCAGCATGGGTGTGACAAATGTAGAAATCAAGCTCCCTGCATTGATGGAGAGGTAGAAGACTGAGAAGTATCTAGTCCGTTCCTCTGCCTGAAAAAAAAAAAAGGCCAAATCATCAGTGCAATATGCCTCCTAGCTCCACCCCGTACCTCATGTTCAGACTAAGCGAGAGGTACATACACAGAGACAGATTCAGGCACTGCCTCTGTGAATGTGTATGTGAATATCATATTAGATATTTTAACACATATCTCGCTGACCCCAGACAAACATTTCCCTATCTTTCAAACCCTAGTACAAGCAACTTTAACATTCTTTTACCCCTTTATCTTGGCAAAAATCATCATCTTGTACACTATGCCTATGTACTGTGTCCTATACATATCTATTCTAATATTAGTTTCTTTGCATTAAATGTCTGTTTCTTTCTGTAGGTTGAGTTCCTTTAGGGCAGAAATTGTATCTTATTATTTTCTGTAATCCCCACTAGCATAGTACCTGTTATACTACAGACAATAAATGTTTATTAACTGAATTTATTAAGTGATTGAGTGACTAAATTAAATAATTGATTTTGTGGAATGTGTGGTAGGAATAGGACTAGAACATGGGATAGTGGAGTAAATTGTCCGTCAAACAGGATAATTTACCTAATGTTTATGGGAAGTCTGCCAAAGAGTATAAAAGGATGTCTGTGGGCTTGGAAATGGCTGGTGGAAACCTGGAGATGGGTTTGTACTGTTATTGAAATATCTTTGTGGAGCAGTTACAAAATGAAGCAATTTTCAAATACAGTTGCTGATGCTTTATTCATTGTGCACTTCTGTGCTTCATTCTGACACCCCAGATCTCCTGACACATCAGCACAATCCTCATTTTCTATTTATGGTGTGTTTTGCTTCTTCTCCTGGTCCCCATTTAAACTCATTACACCAATCTATGTGTATAGTTCATTGTGCATAGAATCCCACTTGCCAGAGGTTGGTTATTTCTCCAACAACAGCAAGCAATTATGATCTATGGACCCTCAGGTAGATAAAGAATATAAAATAAGTCAAATGGCCTGAAGGATTAGAGACAGGAAGGAAGACAGGACACAGAGAAAGAACAGAGTGAAAACCCAGAAACATGGTAACTAGCTACAGAAGAGGGAATAATACATGAAGACAGCCAAAAAAGAAAACTGAGAGGAAAAAAGAAGAAGCTAGAAATGTTGGCTGATCTAAGAATAGACTACTTCCCTTACCTAGTTGTCACTGCTTCCTTATACAGGCCCATTTTTACCTTTATTCATACTGTTTTCCCCTCCCACTGACAGTGGCAAGTATTTAGGAAAAGAAGGAATGATCATACAAACAGGTTCATCTAGAGAAACTCATTCTGTTTTATTCCAAATGGTCCTTTTCCCCTTTCATAGAATCTCAAAGCTAGAGATGCTTAAATCATCTCCATACTACTCATCACCTCCCATTCCCAAAGTGATTACCATGTATCTTCTTAAGTACCTCAAGTGAGAGTAAACTCGCTACTTCCAACTATTTGAAGTTTTTCTTCCCATCAAGCCAGAAGCTAGCTTCCTATAGCTTTCAGCCATTGATCTTTGGTTTAATTACTGACATCCTTCAAATATCTATAGACAGCTAAGATATTCTCTTTAATTCTTATCTTATCCAGGCTATAAATATCTCCATTTCCCTCAACCTTTCTTCATAAGAGCATCTTTTAGTCCATCTACCACCCTGGTCACTTTCCTTTGAAATGTTGCAGTTTTTCCCTCTATTAATGACCAGCACCCAGCACTGAACACAGCTCCTCAGATGTGATCTGACTAGTGGATCACTTCAATCTTGGCAAATGGTTACCTGCCGTTTGATGCCTGCTCTACATTCTTGAAAAACACAGAAATTACAGGACTCTTACATGTTTTTCTTCAAACTGGTCTCCACCAAAAGCTGCCACACAGGGTTTGATACCTCCTGTCCCCAAAGCTATTAGACTCAAGCCGACCATTGATAGGACTCTGAAATGGAGAGGTGAGAGTACTAACCATATTGATACTAAACACAACTGTAGAAATAAAATATAGAGCTACAAGAGAAAAAAAAATGTGTACAAGGGCAAAGACCTCCTTCACATTTCTACACTGTGGGCATTTTCCATATGCCTTCAATCCTAGGGGAGACTCAGGTACACTTATAATCCTTGAGTTTCTGCCAGAAAGTATACATTACATGGTGAGATTTGTCCCTGATAGTTTCATTTACCCCTTGTGCACAACAGATAGAAGCAGATACTGAAGGAACTCCAAAGTTAAAGCACTGGTTCTCAATCTTGTCTTAGTCAAAGGGACACTTCAATAGAATGACCTTGTGAACACTTATCCCACATATCCTTAGTAACCACAAAATAAAATGTTAAACTCGTCATAACTAATAGGATTAGTGTCACTGATTTCTGAGGAGACAAAAATAAGGAGGTATCTAATATTTATTAAATTTCAAACAAAATTCTTAACTCATTGGAAAATACACATATAGGCACAGTATAAACATGAATATGTATGACCTGCTTCTTGAACAACTCTAATCCTCTCTACTGACTGAACCAACAGATATCAGAATCTATCAAGAGTCTCTGGCATCATAAACATCAAGAGCTTAATAAAGAGGGATAGAGCAACTGGAATATATGGAACTACACATAAATGGAAATAATCCAAGCTTTGAAAATGAATTCTACAATGTATTATAAGGAAATATCACAGACATTTTTTTTTAACTCTGGTAAAGGTACAATGTGTGGATGGGTGAATAGGTGAGGGAATATGGAGGGCATGAAGGTTTTAATGTCTTCAAGCACATGAAGAGTTTTTATCAAAAGGATACTAACTGGGCATTCTACTAGTCCCCAAATATTTAATAAAAACAAATGAGCTCAGATGAAGCAGGAAAGAGTTCAACTGGTCAAAGTTTTTTCCTTAACCAATTTGGTATTAAAACAGATTGGAAAATAAAGGGACATCATTGGTAAGAAGACAGAAAAACATCTGTAATGAATGTGTGAGACATTTACCTGCCCAATGGAGGAAAAGTGGTTTAGTTTATTCCATGATTTTACTCACGTGTGTAACATTTGTCCCCCCAGTATTGGTAAGGCACCCATGGACTTGATCACATGGCCAAACACATACACCAAGGAGAGATAGATGATTGTCCTGTTGAGAGAGTTAAATCAGTCAGTCTACAAACAGAATTCAGAGATTTGAGTAATTACAGACTCAAAGTTCATACTATTCTCAGTGCCAGGATAAATGGAGCGGCAGAAGGAGGGGGTGGAGGAGGAAAGAATTACCTGAAATATGCAAATAGAAATTATAATGGTGAATGAAACAAACAGTCTAGAAAAAGAGACAGTAACTCTTTACCCTGTAGTGTTAGAGATAATGGACATTCCTTTCTCATACCTGCTCTCTCTTTTCCCTCACTAACCCCACACAAACACAGAGTACCCCGATCTTGTGTAGATATGTCATGACCAGGTTGGATTTGTAGCCAGCGATAATGTTTTAAGTAAGGAGAACCAGAAGAACAGGATACTTTGACCTGAGGTTTCTTCCAAGGAATGTCTTTGGCTCTAGAAATCCATAGGGGTCAAGAAAGAATGTCACATAAACAGGAAAAAAGGGATGGTTAACACAAAGAACTTTCTCTAAACACAATCACTGGGATATATAGAGAGGTAAAGGGCTCTCAGGTTCAGTCTGAACACTTGGGTTAATTGTAATCCCCACCACAGTTTCCTCATGGACAATTTCCCAAGGGTAAGAAAGGAACCAGGGTCTTTGAACAGACTTTCCAGTGATATAGCTCATGCAGTTGATAGGAACTTGTTGTTATGCTTTTTTTTAAAAAAATCTGAATGACAAACAGGAAGTAGAAGAGTGAGGAATTCCAGTAAGAACATATGTAGAGATATACACACTGAAACATGGCATACTACCAAATATACAATGTGTATTATTTGTATTAGGACACCAGTATTCTCTCTATATATAAGTAGAATATTAATACTAGAAGGAACCTTGGAAATTATATAGCTTACTTCTGTGATTTTGAAGTGTTATATGCTAATGTGGAATATAAAGAATGGAATGAAGGTAGCAGAGAGAGGCTGGAGAAGTCAGAAATCTCAGAATGTGGATTTCTCATTCTAAATGCCTAACCTTCCTAGGTTGGCTCTCCAGGGAAGGGATCTTAGAGGGTTTATAATGGGAAGCAGGGGATAAGAAAGCTGAGTGACTAAACCAGGGCTAATATTAGGGGAAGGGGCAGCCTTTTCCAAAAGACCTTGTAGTGTCTTATGGAGAAAAGTTCCCTTCATTGGAATAAAAAGAATGAATAGAAAGAAAGGGAATAAAAAGGGACTGAAAAAAAGGCCAACAATTATGAATGCAAAATAGATGATCTATGCTAAATCATCACAGAGAAAAAACAAAAGGAGTCTGAGCTGGAGTGATAGTCTGCGTTGGGAGAACAGGGCAATATCAGGTTGTTGGACTAAATGAATGAGAGAAGTGTAAGTGCCTTAAAAGGAAAACAGGCAACCTTCTAGGTGAAAGATTTAGGGAATTGGTCTAGAATGTGAAGAATGTAAGACAGGAAGTTAATGGCAGAGAACTTTAACAGAAGGAGAGAGAAGTCAAGAGAGACTTGGAAATTCTGCATTTGAAATGGAGTCATTGGGGTCATTACAATCCCAACCACAGGACACAGATCTGTTTTAGATAGATGACCAATCTTCCATTTGCAAATGAGGAAAGTTAAATCCAGAGAAGTCAAAGGATATTTTTAAGGTGACATTCTAATTAGTATTAGGATTAGGTCTAGAACTTCCACTTTCTTACAGCCCAGCATTCCTTCAGTTTTATCATGAACAAGTTAATGTGGAAAAAGGAAAGGGAAGAGAAAGACGTTTTAAATTTTATTTAACTGTAAGAATATCAAAAGCCAGAGACATTTTTAATTAAAGCTTAGGAACTGAGAAGGAGTATGTACAGTAGGCATATATTATTATACATACTTCCTCTGATGGCAGAGGAAGAGACCTAGCATAAAGAGGGTCAGCTCTGAAGAGACAAAAAAAAAAAAAAATAGTGGGGGAAGGACATGCTATAGACACACTCAAAAAACAAAACCAGAAATTGTAGAGAAGACATACAAAAGCATATTTGGCAATAAACACATTTAAGAGAGTGGCTTTTACTGATTGCCATGATCAGGAGTCCAGAGTGATAGGCACAGGTCACAAGGTAAAAACCAACACTAGGCACTATGACTAAAAATGTTATTCTCTCTTAAAAGCAACTAAGCATCAAAAATTGCATCTGAGCATGTAATTAACCCTCTCAGTAGATGTTTATAGAAATCATAAAAAGCCAGTGTCCATGCTTAAAAATTTTATTTTCCATTGTATATCCACTGGCTACTCTTTCCTGTGTGTAGTCCTGAAGAAACGTTCACCTCTTTCCTGACATAGGGAGTTCCTTATACAAGAGTCAGGGACCCTGGGTACCCATTTTCTCTTAACAAAGCTATGATTCTGCGACTGCAAACAGAGGAAGCACTTTTAATAGAAGTTGTTTACTAAATTCAGATGTTTCTAATGTTATAGGATGTTTCTTATCCTGAAGATAACATCTGAAGAAAAGGAGAGGAGTTTTAAATACTTATGTTACTGTCATCATTGTTTTTGTACATGTGAGCTCACACACACCCCGATAGAACAAGTTACTCATGTTTTCTCCAACTCAGTTTCTCTCAGAAAGAGATACCAATTCATCCCCAAAGAGTTTTGTTATTTAAAAAGCAACCACAGGGCTTCCCTGGTGGTGAAATGGTTAAGAATCCGCCAGCCAGTGCAAGGGACACGGGTTCGAGCCCTGGTCCGGGAAGATCCCACATGTCACGGAGCAACTAAGACTGTGCACCACAACTACTGAGCCCGTGTGCCACAACTACTGAAGCCCATGCACCTAGAGCCCATGCTCCGCAACAAGAGAGCCACTGCAATGAGAAGCCCGCTCGCCACAACTAGAGAAAGCCCGCACACAGCAACGAAGACCCAACACAGTCAAGATAGAGATAAGATTGGAGCTGATTTCTTTGATTTGCGTTGGTGTTTTCACGGCAGGAAATGCTTTCAAATCATTTTCTGTGTGTAATCTGAGTGCGGGTAAAGAATTCCTCAACTTGTCAGGATGCTAATTAAATGTAATAATAATTTGTGTAACCTGCTGTGATACTAAAGTGGCTAATGACAGTCACTTGGGTTTCCAACCAGGAAGGGTTTGTTTTAATGCACATGTCTAATTTAAGAAGTTCACTACTTTATTATCATGTAATATTGTCGTTCGCTTGAAATAGTGCAAAGCAAATAGTTGACTGATCACTCCTTAAGAATTTATGGTTTCTTGTAAAATCAACAAGAATCTATTTCCAAAGAAAGAAATATCAAAATTAAGTAATAATTTAAAAATTTACGGGGAAAGTATCTCAGGCAACTCATAACAATTCCTAGATGTTTTTTTTATTAGTCCATGATGTTTTCACAGTAAGAAAGGCTCTAAATTTATAGATAAATGCTGGGCCTGCTACCTTAATATGTGAGTGTAGTTGCCCTGGATGCAATGCAGAGGATACACAGAGGTGATAATTTCGTGCTCCAAGAGAATTAATAGTGGAAAGTTACACGATGCTCAAATAGCTCCTTCCTTAGGAAAAAGGAAACTATCCAGAAAGTCACACACCTAGCAGAATGTATTGGAACCTTGGGACTTAGATATTTTTATAATCCTATTTCTTTTTTTATAGAGCTTCAAAAAATCATCTTTGTTCAAAAAGAGGAAATATTTTCTTTACTATAAACGGACAGAACTTTTCTCATATTTTCACAAATGTTGGTGTTCTTCTATTTCAGGAATTAATTTAAAATGTTGTCATCAAATAAAAATTCCCATATTATTAAAAAAATTTTTTTTTTTTTTTTTTTTGCGGTACGCAGGCGTCTCACTGTTGTGGCCTCTCCCGTTGCGGAGCACAGGCTCCGGACGCGCAGGCTCAACGGCCATGGCTCACGGGCCCAGCCGCTCCGCGGCATGTGGGAGCCTCCTGGACCGGGGCACAAACCCGTGTCCCCTGCATCGGCAGGCAGACTCTCAACCACTGCGCCACCAGGGAAGCCCTAAAATATTTCTTTTATTATTATCAAGTGTCAAAGGTAATCAAGGCTATTACTCTTGAGGCACAAAGCAGATGTTGACATAAGAATGCTCTTTGTCACTACCCCTTATTGTCGTATGCCATGGTGCCAGGCAGAATTGCTGAAATCCACCGCGCCCCCCCCCCCACCAGGGATGTCTCACCCTAATCCCTGGAACCTATGACTATAATGAGATGTCACTTCTTTAATTATGTTATATTATATGACACAATTGACAGTAAGATAGTGAGATTAACTAGATGAGCCTGATCTAATCATATGAGCCATTAAAAGCAGAGACTTTTCTCTGGTAACAGAAGGGGAAGAGATTCAAAGTTTGAGAAGGGTTTGATACACCATACTGATAGCCTGAATATGGAAAGAACAATGTGTCAAGGAAAGGGGACACCTCCACCTGAAAGATGGCAAGAAAATAAGCACCTACAATGACAGGGAAATGAATTCAGCCAACAACGAATGAGGCTGGTGGTAGATTATTCTCCAGAGTCCAACCCAGGAGACACCCAGACCTGTAAGCCAACTGACTGGCTCCCACTTCTCACTTACAGAATTGTGATATAGTAAATGAATCTGGTTTTAAGCCAAAAATAAATAAATTTATTTTTAAAAAGTAGCTGAAGTAGAGATTAAAAAAAAAAAAGCAATCACAATACCCACAACAAAATAAGTCATCTTCACACCTGCCCACACCTACCTCAGTCTTGTGCCTACATTTGAGTATCTGAGGGTGAATAAATTTATTAATTGAAACACTTGCTGTGGGCCTGTTATATACCAGGCACTGTTCTAGGTGCTGTGGATAAAAATATAAATGAGACTTTGTCTTCTAAGTGTCTGAATAAGGTATTAGATTCATATACAATAGTTATGATAAGACAGAGTTTGGTAAATGTCACATGAGGGTAAAAAATAAGGAGTTCAGAGAACTTTAGATTACTTCTGGCTAGTGGTGAAAGGTTAGGGGCAGAGAATACTCCATTGCATAGGTGGAATTTGAACTGAGCCTTAAAGGATTTGGACATAGAAGGCTGGGGAGGAAGGAGATTCCATGAAGTAGAAACTATGCAAACAGACATGGCAAAGAAATGTCCCTGTTTATCATTAGGTAAGTATTAGTATTTGGTTTTTCTCTAGTGTACATTTTTGAAAGGGAGTATGACAATAAGAGCAGAAAGGTAAGTTGGATGAGATTAGTAGACAGTGTGTTAGCAGAAATTTTTGAGCAGAGTAGTAATATGAACAGAGATTTCTTTTAGGAAGATTAATTTGACAGTAGTGCATAGACTCAATTGTGAACAAAAGATATGGGAAGCAATGAAAACATCGTACACGTCCATTTCAATAGCCCAATTTAGAGGCTAATGAAAACCAAAACTAGAGTAGTGGTGATTGATGGCCGTGGGATTCAGTGTTGAGGAGGGAGAATGTGAGAGAGATTATAGAAATAGAATTGGCAGAATTTGAAAACTGATTGGATGTGGGAGTATAGGAAAGCTAGGAGAAAGGATAAGGTGGAATATCTATGAGATGAATGCTAATGTGCAGTTATAATGCATAAGGGCGCTTGAGTGACAGGTTAAGATTACAGAGTTTGAGGAGCCATTAGCATATAGGTAAAATTGACACCGCAGAGCCTGCTGAGGGAAAATCTGGAGAAAGGGAAGAGGGTAAAAGGTATACACTGCGGAAATGCCTACATTCAGGAAAGAGTAAAGTAAACAAAAAGCAAAAGAAAAGCCAAATGAGGAAGAATCCAAAAAAGTAAAAGAACCAGAAAATACAGTGTTAGAGAAGCCTAGGAAGTTTCAAGAATTTAGGAGTGATAACAGACTAAAATGTTAAAACACATTCAAAGTGAATAAGAATTTAGAAAAGACCACTGGGTTTGATAACAAAGAGATCATTACCAGTGATCTAAAAGAGAAGAATTTCAATAGGATAAAAAGACGACATACTATATATTATTTCACTTACCATAATCTGCTTTGCATTAAAGCTAGTTGAATATGAACAACATGAAGCAGGTATTATGTCTTATTCATCTTTTTATCCCTCATGGTTCTTTGGACAAATAGAAGTTGCTCAATAAACATTTACTGAATTAAACTCGATCAGCTTAAGTTGAATCTAATTGGATTCTACTGCAATGCATTACATTACTGTACCCTAAGGAGAGATAATGAAGAGTGAGAAAGGAAGGCAACAAATAATAAGTGATTCTTTTAAAAATCTGAAGGTAGTGATAATAAGACAAAGAAGATAGAAAAAGAAAGGTTAACAATAATTTTGTTTGTTTAAAGGTCTCATATTTGCCCTTGCTTCTAGGTACAGGACAAGAGTGTCTCTGAGGAAGAATTTGAAGGAAAGGGACAGAGGTATTGAGGGTACAAAGACACCAAGGAGAGTGATCTAGGTGACGGTGATACATTTGTAAAAATTCATCCAGCTGTACATTTAAGACTTTTGGATTTGTGTACTTTATGTAAGTTATACCTCAATAAAAATAAATTCAAAAAAAATTAAAAGTACCTCATAAAGGATTGAGATTGAGGGCACAAGTGGAGGTTGCTAAATTTCCTCTGAAATAGTCAGGAAGCTATTACTTACCAAATCTCGGATCTATACTTTTTCAATCTTAAAGGAAGTCATTTTAAAAATAAATAAAATTACTACGTGATATATGTGAGTCTTTTATTCTATAACTGAATGAAGACTATATACCATGGTTTATACTTTCTTTCTGCACATAGTGCCAACCCTCTATCTGGATGGACTTGGTAACTACTACTACATAAGGAGCAAACATAGATCTCAGCCACCTGCCATACCTTTCCCAAGGCAAGAAACTGTGTTTAGTACTTAGTTGTGGTTGTAGCGCTATATTGGGTGCTGATTAAAAACTTTAGAATGAATATATCTAGGCCAAAATGAGATAGAAACCAATGTTTACTAAAGAGGATTCCTTGGAACACTAGGTCCACAAGAAATCCTGAAAAAATATTCCACGGTTAAATAAGTTTGGAAAATACTACATACCATAACCTCCTCTTGGATATTTTATAGTATGAATTCACATGTTAAAGGCTGTAAGAAGTTATGCAGTAAAGATACCCTTTTAGCTTTATTCAGCCTAGCATTTTCCAAACTTATTTGACTATGAGAGCTTTATGTTCCCACATAACATTCATTAGATCCTATACAACCAACTTTCAACAGAATGCACTTTGAGAAATGCTAATTTAGACAATTCCATAGATGACAAGTCCACAGAAAATACCTGAGTGATAGATATCTAAGAGCCATCTCTAGCCCATGAGGATGATGTTATAGGGGACAAAAGTAACACTATCCCAAACATATCTCTTGGTGCTATTTTCAGAGACTTAAAAGATACTGAACTGAACAGACCATTAGTCTAATTCATGAAGATATTTATTATATTATTAAGAAAGAAACTACAGAAGGAGGTTAGAGAAGAGAAACAGAGATGGTAAAAAAGCTAAAAAGAGGGATTCATAAGAAGATAGTAAAAGTGCTGGGATGACTCAATCTAGAGAATAGATGGATAGTATATCAAATAACTACATTGAATTATAAATTTTCTTGTGGGTAGCAATCTCTGTCACCTGAGATCAGAACAAGAACTAGTCTTAAATTACAGAATGGTAGATTAAAATTAGATAAAAGAAAAAAACCCTGCTGACTGAAAAGGGTATAAAAATATTAGAAAAACTGATAATGAAGAGACAAAACCTTTCTGTATTGTCAGTCTGAGAGAGATTCTTATTTGTCATGGATGACATAAGTATGTTCTTGCTTGGAAGCAAGAGGCTAGAAGTGATAGTCTCTGCACAATTAATACATGCAGCTTCTTAGACTGTGACCTCCCATCATCCTTACTTGAATTTTCCCAACCATGAGTCAGCAATGGCTGCTCCCAGGATGGGAGTGAAATAACAGAGGCTGCTGAAGGCATGGTATACAGATGTGGAAGTGTCTTCACTCCAGTGCAGGAAATACAGGAAATACAGGGTCAGCACAGCTGAAGCAAAAAAAGAGAGACAAAACAAAATAGATGCATTATAATGATTTATGGAGCAGAAGAACATTTGATATGGTCTTTGAAGTTGATCTTGACCTTCAACACTCCTATCAGTGAAGTGATGAGGGGTGATTGCTGGGCAGTAGAAGCAGGGCCCCTTGGAGTTGTGGGAGTAAATGGGGCTACGCTTAGTATACAAATGCAATACTCCTCCCTTCAGTCTATGTGTACATAGCATCATTTAGGCCAATCCAAAAGATAACATGGGGCTTCTAATATCCCTTCCTTCTCCTTCCCAGCAATTATATAACCCATAGACCCGAGGAACAGAAATGAAGAATGGAATGTCGATGATGAGAGTTTTTCCACTCATATTCTCATAGGCTGTGTTCTGATTTCCATTTGGCCTTTCTGTTCTTGGCCTGTATGAGTTAGTAGGTGAAATCCCATGAGGCATTTTTTGGAAGTCTTCACCAAAGGAAAGGACCAATTGGATGAAGGCAGAAAAAGTAGATAAGGGAAATAAGTGCATATGAGATAGGTTGTTACAAAGATGGGGTGAGAGTGAGTGGAGAAGAGTAGGACTCAAGGACACAAAATTACCTTTCATGCCATAATAGGAAAAGCGCTCACAGAATTCATTCACCACGATGAAGACAATACTCAGTGGATAGTTGGAGCCACAGATTTTCTAAGAAACAAAAAGGCAATGGTTCAAGCATGAACTATATTTCCTTGTTTAAACCATTAGATTGCTCCACAACAGAAAAAAATCATTTATTTTAAGTTGCCATGACAGGTCATGTGAAACAATGGCCCCTGCTCTTCATGAAACAGCCAGTATCACACTAAAAGTGCCTGCATTGCTGATTTAGCAGTGAGAAGCTATTCTGAATATTACTTTGTTCCTCAATTCATTTAACATGAAACTGCTCAGGCATTCCTTGATATTAGACACCAGGACCTGTTCATCTTCCCACAAGTACTAAACGAAAAGCCTGGGGCTCTGGGTAGGAGAATAATCATACTTATTTTCAGGAACAGAACAAAGAGTTGGCCTATGGAGCACTTGATGTCCAGGCAGTCACACTCAGATGTCAGTATCCTGCTTAGCTCCACTGTGCGGATTAACCTTTCTGTTTCCACTTGCCCCATTCACTGTGCTGGGGGAAATCCTAGCAATATGAAGGTTTCCCATTCAGTGGCTACTGAAGCCAGGCACAGAGCCTAGTACAGATTGCTAAAGGTAAGATGACTGATCACCTTGACCTTAGGCAGAGAGTTCTTAAATCTTGTCAAATTAAATGTCCATTCTTTCTATGAAAGAGAGATTCTATAACATTTTCATGCTAATCCTTTTGGGCATTAAAAGGACTACACTATTTCATGCACTGTATCAGTCAGAATAAAAGGAACATCATGTATTATTTCAAATCCTTACCCATTATGATAGCCCAGCCAATATGAGAGGGGGATGGAGATATGTGTCCTTGGTTCAATCGAATCTTATCATGAGATTTTTATTGCCTTTTCTTATTCATAAGATGTACATACATCTTTGTAAGCAGCCTCAAATTCTTTGGGACCAGAAAACATATAACTAAATAAATTAATGTATTCATTCTTTTATCCACATGGATATATAAAAACAACCCTCCAAAATATTAATATACATTAACGTATGATAAAAACTTGCTTGGAAGACAATATAAATTAGTCTTATTACCTTCCCAGCTCACAGCTCGAGAATCATGCAACCTGAAGTTTAGTTAACACATTTCTACTACAGCTATGTAACACTGTCACTGGCTGTGTTAACATACTGATCCAGGCCATGTCACCACACTTGGCTTTATACTTCAGTTTTGTTATTCCAAAGAAACTACCACCTCTAGAATACTACTACAGTTACCTCTTTGCCTGTAGTAAGAATTCAGTAAATACTGGCTAGTATGTCTGTATCCTCTCCATTTACAGGATTTTGATATGAGGATTGAATAAGAATTGGCAAGTGCTTTAACAAGTGTATAAAGTAAAACATTATTATTACTTCCTTGTTTCTCTGTCCTTTCTCCCACTGTAAACTGGAACACAGTAAAAGAAACTAGATCTATTCTAAAACTTCTCTTGGTGGTCAGCATAGATTCTGTGCACAGGGGAAACTAAGGGCTGAGATTTTTTTTTGGTGAAGAAAGAACAATCACACACAGTTCTCCAGAAAGGAGTACTTGCCAAGTTTCCCTGGACATTCAAATTGCTTTTTTTCCACCCCAGAGAAACTCAGAATATACAATGAAATACAGCCAAGTCCTGGATACCAACTGAAGAACTCTAACTACCTCTTTCTGCTGCTTCCTCTCCTAAGTTAAAGGAAACTTCTGTTTAGGTTTGGTTTACAGGTTAATTCTAACTCCAAGAGAGAATAGTTTTTAATACTCTTAACACAGCTCAGCGTGAAGCTCCAGGGGCCAAGGAGGAGAACCAAAAAAGTAAGTCTGTTCCTACCAGAGACAGAACTGAATCTGAGGACTCACCGGAGATGGCTTCTTTGGAAAGCTGGGGGGTCGAGGTGGTACCTCTTCAGGGGAGACAGGTAAAAAAGGAGTTTCCTTGAACTCATTTTTCTGGAAGAGATTCATGGCTGGCTCCTTACTCTCTCTCTCTTCAAGCATTTGGCTTCGGTAGGCAGTTGGGACAGCTGCCAGGCTACTGTGAAAAGGGGGACTGGGAGGGGAAGAGGGGGTGGCTTCAGCAACTAGGTTTAACCCTATGGGTGTCAGGCGTCAGCAGCCGCCTGCAAAGCAGAAAGCTATAGAAAAAGAAAGGATTGGGTCTCAGAGACTAGTTCAAAAGAACATTTATGTCACAGGGAAGTGAGAATAACACATCATGGGATGAGACAGTATAATGCTGGAAAATTTCAAATGAGTGAAAATTAGTTAAGAACACAATGCCTGGAGCATACCTAGAGCAGATTTTGAAATCGATTTCAGGGTAATAATAGCTACTATTTATTGCACACCTATTGTGGGGAAGGTTTATACACACACACACACATATATATTATATCTACATGTTCTAATTCTTACTACTATCCCCATTTTATAGGAACTAATGTCCTAAGAGGTTATGTAATTTGTCCAAAGTCATGTGGCCAGTAAGTGGCAGATCTGGAATTTTCACTATGCCACTACAGATTACTATCAGTAATGCCTGTGGTCATTACTTAGGAATGGAAACTATGGAAATAAAAACATAGCAATGTAGGGGAAATGAAATGCATTGAAGAGGGAAAGTTATCTCCAAAAAGAATTTGGAGAGATACAAAAGATGTTGATTTTTGGTTTTCAGCATAATAAAGTTCAACTAGAAATGTCTTATAAGCAATTAAAGAGGTGGAGCTGAAGAAAACAAAAGGAAAGGGTTGGTGATGTACATTTGGGAATCATTCTTCTTTGCTAAATTCATTCCCTGTGTTTCATTTTCTCACTTCAAGATGAATCCATCATTTAATTAGTAAATAAAATTTAATTTGTGTAAAATTATGAGCCAGTTATTTTCTAGGAACCATTATAAACATCATATTTCTTAATTTTCAGTGAATGGACTCCCAAATGACTCTAGAATATAATATTTAGTTCTTATCAGAGGAGGAACAAGAACAGAGATGACAATGATAGATACATTTTAGACAGTATTATTTTTGCTAAGTCAAAGAGGTAAAAGAACAAGAGAGTAGGGTGCCCATCTAGATGTCAATCAAAAGAAAAAGGAAAAGAATGGCTAGAGAGCAATAAGAAAAAATGAGGACTAAACCAAAAAAGGAGTCAGGAAACAGAAGAATGAATTATTTTATTTTAGAATATGAGAAGCTATGACTCTCTCCCTCATAAAATTCTTACATTACCTATTTCAGTTACTGACAAATAAGACCAGGAGAAACTCCACCCTTTCCTCCCTAAACTCCATCTTAGACTTTGACCATGTTTTCCCAGCTTCTATTCACTCCTCCTCCTGCTTCTCTCCCACCAACCTTTACCCAAAGAAGGGTCCATTTCATTTCTGTTTGTGACATTAATGATTAAGCTACAGTTATTCTTTCAGGAAATACTGCCCTTTCTGACCTAGTTTGGTTAATGACTCTGGATACATAACAAATGAATAGTCAAAACTTGTTAGTCAAATTAACCACTAGAGGCACAGATGCTTTTAAGATCTAATTATATCACTGGCTCCCCCTGCTCTGGCCTTGTACCTCTGGAATAGCATTTGATCTCTCAGAGCAGATGGAATAGCACCGGTAGGCAAGGCACCAATTCATTTGTGCTTATAGGTGCCCTAAATACCAGACTTTAGAGTATTGGCATTGGTTCTCTGATACTCATTTGTTTAGGTGAAATTCTTCTTTTGATTATGGCAATACAATGCTACCATTTATAAAATCGAATAGTATCAGAGATGGAAGGAATCTTAATCTTGTCCTACATAAACTAAACTTCCCTGATGCTAAAAATCACTTAGGGATATATATATTTACATATATATTTATATTTGTATATATACTTATAACTACAAATTTTCACAGCAATTCACACACACACCACACACAATTTACAGGCCTGTGCTTTGAAAAGTCTTATTGAATAGATCTAAGTAGGTATCTAAGAACTTGTATTTTTAATAAGCATCTCTGGTAATTCTTATAATAGGGATTTGGTGAACACTGGTTTGAAATCCTTTTCCTAGTCTAGCCTGAAGAATATTACAGAAGAGCCTCCCAGCCTCCAAGACCTATTCTAGAGCCTTTTCTATCTTATCAAGATGCCTCTTGTACACCATCATTTTTGCTAAGTTGAAATCAGATAGAAGGATAAAAGGGAAAAGATCAAAGAGAAAAGCAACACCTGAATAGAAATAAGTACAAACTTTTGAAAGATAAAAAATAATAGAGTGAAAGAATCTAAAATATCAGTGATAAGAGTAAAAAATATTTGTGACCTCAATGATTATGACAGGAGAGTGATATTTTACAATCATGTACAAAAAGGAGGCTGAAAATGACAGATACTAATATAGTCCAAGAGAAGAGGCAAATATGAAATTAAAAGAGAACATGTGTTTAGCAAGGTGTATGAATACAAAATCATCATATAGAAATAAATTGTATTTAAATATCAGCAAAAACAAATAGAAAAGGGAATTTAAAACATTATACCAGCTCTAATAGCATAAAAAATACCTAGGAATAAATCTATTGAAAGATGTCTAAGACATCAATACTAACCACTCTTAAAACATTACTGAAAGAAATTAAAGCTCTAAATAAATGGAGAGACATACCATGCTCATGATTTGGAAGCCTCAGCAAAAATGTCAGTAATCCCCAAATCAATCTATAATTGCAACACAAAATCCAACAGGTTTTGTGAGTGTAGAAAATGACAAGTTGATTTTTAAAATTCATATAGAGATACAAAAAGCGAAGAATAGCAAAGGCAGTCTTGAAGAACAATAGTGGAGGATTTGCACTAACCAGTAGGAGACCTATTATAAAGCTATAGTAATTATAACAGAGTGGAAAAGACACAAAGATAGATAAGGCAACCAATACAACAGAACAGAGTGCAGAAAAAGACCCACACATATACTGAGGCATCAGTTATGACAAACGTGACACTGCAGTGCAGTGGGGGAAATGACGGTGTTTTTAACTAAAAAAACACCATCTAGGGCTTCCCTGGTGGCGCCGTGGTTGAGAGTCCGCCTGCCGATGCAGGGGACACGGGTTCGTGCCCCGGTCCGGGAAGATCCCACATTGCCGCGGAGCGGCTAGGCCTGTGAGCCATGGCCACTGAGCCTGCGCGTCCAGAGCCTGTGCTCCGCAACGGGAGAGGCCACAACAGTGAGAGGCCCGTGTACCGCAAACAAACAAACAAAAAAAAAAAACAAAAAAAACACACCATCTAGATACTCACATGGAAAAAAATATGTTTACCCATGTTTTTATGCATGGTGTAAATATATCTCACACCATGCATAAAAACCAATTCAATATAGATTACAGATCTGTCAAAGTTTAAAAAATTAAAGCTTTTAGAGGAAAACATAAGAGAGCATCTTTATGGCTGTGGATAAGCCAAGATTTCTTAAATAAGACATAAAATATGGTAACCATAAAAGAAAAAGAATTGATATATGGGACAGTATTAAAATCAATAACTTTTTTGGGCTTCCCTGGTGGCACAGTGGTTGAGAGTCCGCCTGCCGATGCAGGGGACACGGGTTCGTGCCCCGGTCCAGGAAGATCCCACATGCCGCGGAGCAGCTGGGCCCATGAGCCATGGCCGCTGAGACTGCGCGTCCGGAGCCTGTGCTCTGCAACGGGAGAGGCCACAACAGTGAGCCCAAAAGATAATTAAGAGTAAAAAGACAGCCCACAAAGTGGGAGAAAATACTCATATTACATATATTGTCAAAGGATTTGTGTCTAGACTATATAAATCACTTCAAAAATCAATAAAAAAAGGTTCACATTCAGATATTTTAAGTCTTTTGCAATTATAAATAATACTGTAATAATAACCTTGCAAATAAGTCAAATGTATCTGTAGAATGAATTTCTAGAAGTGAGATTGCTGTGATAAAAATGTTTTTATAATTTTCAAAACTGCAGATTCATTCCCTTTTTCCTATTGAGTTGTTTGTCCCCTCCTTGTAAGTTTGTAAGATCTACCTTTATATCATTTATGTTAAAGCTCTGCCACCCTCTATGTTGCAAATATTTTTTCTACTGATTTTGTTTGTGGACTTTTAAAATTAAACATAACTTAAAAGGCACAAACCTTAAGTGTAAAACTCCACTATTTTTTACATATGTGTAACTCACACAACCACCACCCAGGTAAGATTATATATATTTGTAATAAATATTTATTTATAATAAATATTGGGTTGGCCAAAAAGTTCGTTCAGGTTTTTCCATACCATCTTACGGAAAAACCCAAATGAATTTTTTAGCCAACCCAATATAATAATATATATTATATATTATACTACTCCTACGAATTGAGTCAGTCCCTTTGAAGAAGGTTTCAATCTTTTTAGAATATATTTTTATAATATTTTTCCCATTCTTGAGTTGGTAATTTTGCTTCATCTCTTAATAAATTGGAAATTACTAAATTATTACATGAATGATATGTGAATGATATAATTCCTGAATTCTGACATGTCTAAGAATGCCTTCTTGCCAAACTGTAGATGATATTTGATGAATACATAATTCATAGGTCACACTTATACCTTGTGCTGACGCAACTTTACTAACGTTAGACTTTTAGTGTAGTGTTATGGAATAGTTCAAAGCCCACTGATTTTTGTTCCTTTGTAGCCAACTTACTTTCATGCTTATATTATCATCAGTTACTGGATAAATAAACTATGGTACATCCAAACAATGTAATAATATTATTCAGTGCTAAAAAGAAATGAACTATTAAGGCATTCAAAAGACATGGAGGAAACTTAAGTGCATATTACTAGGTGAAAGAAGCCAATCTGAAAAGGATGCACAATGTATGATTTCAATTATAAGATATTCTGGAAAAGGCAAAACTAAGGAGACAGTAAAAAGATCACTGATTACCAGGGGTTGGGGTGTGGAGGAATGAATTGGCAGAGCACAGGATTTTTAAGGCAGTGAAACTATCCTGTATGATACTACAGTGGTGGATAAATGTCATCGTACATTTGTTAACACCCATAGAACGTACAACACAAAGAGTGAACTCTAATGTAAACTATGGACTTTGGGTGACAGTGTGTGAATGTAGGTTCATCAATTATACAAAAAAAAAAAAAGTACCACTCTGGGGCAGGATGTTCATACTTGGGGAGGTTGTGCATGTGTGGGAACAGGGAGTATATAAGAATTCTCTGTACTTTCTGCTCAATTTTGCTGTGAAACTAAAACTGCTCTTAAAAATAAAGTTTATTAATTAAAAAACAAACTTGCTGCTGGTTAGTGACTGTCAACTATAATATTTATCATTTCCCCCCAATTCAAAAATGTTATAGGTATAAATATTAATTATCTCATTAACATAAATGCTTATTTTTACTCTCAAAAGCAAAATAAGAAAATGATTAAAAAGTATCAAAGAGATAAGAGAACATGATAAAATGTGTGAGATAAGAGGACAATTGTTTCATTAAAACAATTACTTAGCTTCACCTTTACCCTAAATTTGAGCTTAATTTTCAACCAAAATTTAAGGAATATCAGATAGAAAGGCTCAGAGATGTAATTAAAACCAGGACATTTATTATAAATCAACAGTTTTGCCATTCACAATTGAAAACAGCAGTGTGGTAAAACAGAACACTGAACCTGAACTTCAGAACACCTGATCTGCCACTTGTTAACAATATGTGGGCAAGTAACCTAACCCCTGAAGTTTGTTTTCTCATCTGTAAAACTTCCTAGGAGTTTTGTTAAGATTAAATGAAATCACATGAAAATGCCGGTACCCATAAAAGGTAAAAAATGTAACATCAACTGAAAATTCTGAATCAGATTAAATTTCTCTTATCATCAAAGTTAAGATACCTTTTCCTCAGTCTTAGGAATTTTTATTCCTAATATAAAATAAATTATCACATGTCTTATAAACTTTATACTTATAGCTGAATATTTCTTCAGTCATCACTGTCACTTCCTGATTCACTCAGCTGCAAATCATTTCCTAAAATAAAAAAAGGAAAACTGTAGTAATTGAATATTTTAATATTTAATATTTTTGGATAACATAGATGTTTTACAAAATATAACCCCAAGGTGATCCTGTTTAGCCAACATTATGTCTTTAAATTACAGGATAAGCAATCTGATTATTAGTCACATCAGTAGCAACTCAAAGAATTAATATTACCTGTAAAGAAAAAATAAACCACCAATCTTCAGCATAGTTTTAGTATCACTTGGCATCTATTGATAGTTTAGTCTTCTTTCACATACCAACATCACCCTTCTTTTATACCACTGATTTAATTACATCAGGAAATGAGGAGAAAATGTGGTTCAGAAGATCAGACTATTTTGAAGAGTGAAAAAATGTATAATTTTTTACTACAAATTCAGGCAAAGTCATTAAGTAGTATATGTTAAGAGTACCTCATCATTGATTATCTTGTAATTCACCCATGTTCTTACAGTCACGGAACTTACATTCCAGTGGGAGAGACAGACAATAAACAAATATATAATGTAATATTTATCCTAAGTAGGGATAAATATTACACTATTTAGATGGGTCTGGGGAGAGTGGTGAGAGATGCTATTGTAAATAGGGTAGTTAGGAATGCCTCCTCAAGGTGGGACATTAGAACAGAGATCCAAATGTAGAGAGAGAGTAAAGAAAATACAGAGGTGGGGGAAAATGTCCAGGCTCAGGTAAAAGCAAATACAAATGCCCCAAGGCAGAAGCATGCTTCTTGTGTTCTCTGACAGCAAGAACACCCCCGTGGCTGGAGTGGAATGAATGAGGAAGAGAATGTAGGTAAATAGGTCAGAAAGATATCCAGAAGACCATGGTGTGTAGATCATGGAAAAAACTTCAGATTTTGTTTGAAATGTAATGGGAATTCAATTCACTGGAAAATTTTAAACAGGCAACTGACTTGAACACTATTGTATATCAGTGAATAGACTATAATGGTGTGGAGGAAACATGGAATCAGGGAGAACAGTTATGAGTCTATGCAGTTTCTCATGTAAGATATAATATCAGCTTTGAGAAAGACAAATACTGTATGACTTCACTTATATGTGGAATCTAAAAAACAAAACAAATGAACATATAAAAAGGAACAGAGTGACAAATACAGGGAACAAACAGGTGCCAGAGGGGAGGTGGGTAGGGTGAGGAGAGAAATAGGTGAGGTACAAACTTTCAGTTATAAAATAGTGATAAGTATGAAATGTACATTGTGGGGAGTATAGTCAGTAACTATGTAGTATCTTTGTATGGTGACAGATGGCAACTAGACTACGGTAATCGCTTTGAAATGTACAGAAATATCAAATCACTATGCTGTGTACCAAGAACTAACATAGTGTTGTAGGTCAATTATACATCAAAAACAAACAAACTCAGAGAAAAAGATCAGATCTGTGGCTACCATGAGTGGGGGGTTGGGGGGAAGGGAAATTAGATAAAAGGCAGTCAAAAGGTACAAACTTCCAGCTATAAGATAAATACTAGGGATGCAATGTATAACATGATAAAAATAATTAACACTGTTGTATGTTATATATGGAAGTTGTTAAGAGAGTAAATCCTAAGAGTTCTTGTTGCAGGGAAAAAATTTTTTTCCTATTTCTTTAATGTTTTATGTATATGAGATGATGGATAGTAGCTAAACCTATAGTGGTAATCTTTTCAGGATGTATGTAGTTAAACAGTTGTACACTTTAAAATTATACAGTGCTGTATGTTAATTATATCTCAATAAAACTGGGGAAAAAAGAAGTAATACTGGCTTAGACTCAGGTGGCTCAAGTGAAGGTGGTGCTAAGTAGTCAGATTTATAATTTGCTTTGAAGATGGAGCTTACAAGACTATTAACAGTACTGGACTTAGTGCATGAGAGAAAGAGAAAAGTGAAGGATGACCCCCAAGATTTCTGGTCTAAACAACTGGATAAATGGTGGTATCATTTACTGAGATGAGAAAAACCAGAGGAACAAGATTGTGTAAAAACAAAATCACAAGTTCAATTTTTAACAAGGTACACTTGAAATACCTAGTAAATATTCAAGTATATATGGTATAGGCAATTGGATATACAAGTCTGAAGCTTAGGGTAGAGGCTGCAGCCGCAAAAGATTTGGGAGTCATTGATTACAGGGGGTTTATTTGAAGCTATAGGATTGGATAAATCTTTTGGGTGGTAAATTACAATGGTTAACAAACTCTTGTATTTTTAAACTACTCCACAATCAACAAAAGCTGGAGTATTTTGAAGCTAATATCCAATTTAAGATGAGTACTTTTTAGGCCATATATAAACTGTTGCAAGATACCTCAGTCCACTGCATGAAATCCAGAACTAATTACATCACTTGATAAAGAAACCTGCTAAAGCTTCATTTGTGCATCTGGTTCACATGACCGTTTTCTTATATTCAAGGCTTAAGTTTCTATTTATTATACAACTATTGTATGGCATAAGAATGTTTATCCTGACGTGATGCCTATAAAATGAGTTTCTCAAGTGACACAAACCCAAATGTCCTGAGTTCCGTTTTTCTTAATAGACTTCATACTACGGAGGTTATAAGCACAGCATTACCATGCTGTTGGTTGAAATGTTCAGTTTTGAAGATATGAGATTAGCCTTTGAATATGAGATGCTTAGTAAAGGAAATATGTTTTCAATCAAAATGGTAATTATGACTTGGAAAAAAGAGTATACCCATAGCAAATGCATTCAGATACCTAAACCAATGTTTCTCAATGAGAGCAATACTGCCCCCTAGGAGATGTTACAGAAATGTGCGTGACGGGTCTCTTGTCCCAGTGATTTGAAGATTGCTAGTGGCATTTAGTGAACAGGGAACTTAGGAATCTTAAACGTCTTGTAATGCAAGGACCAATCGTGAACAATAAAGAACCCTTCTACATTCTGTAAAACTTTTGAAAGTCCAGTGGGATACTCATGTACTTGAGAGGTCTGTTTATAATTTTAAGGCCAGAACTAATTGCATTTTTATAAACTAAAAGTATCCTTTTGCACAGACATAAAATTCTCTGAAATTTACAAGGATGCAACTATCATGTAAACTGAAAGAAGACTTTACTTTTTTTCTGAGACCTTTACAAAGATTTTTTAAACTTGTTTCTGAAAACACAGTGATATCTATGTTGCTCATTGGCTTTGGGTCAGCAGTACAGCACCTCAAAACTTATCTGTATACGCAATTCTATGAATATCTATGTATATACCTTTCCAGTCCTTATTTTAACAAGATAAATAAAAAGAAAAAATATTGACATATGAGTTGAATATTGCCTTGCTTCCCTTAATTCCAAATATATTCATTAAAAGTAAGTGCAAACATATGGCACTTTGTTATGTTGTCTCACCAGGCCTGAACATTTACAAAGTAGAATATCTATTACTTTACTATAGACTATTTTTACTTTGTCTTAATATTACATTAATTATTTTCAAAGATATATGTGCCTAGATGATATTAAGCTATGAAATTCATTTCAGAATAGTAAAGGGGACTTAAATATATGTTATAAAAGAGGGTGCTGAGTCTGCTAAGGTTGAAAATGGGATGACTGCAGTAACAATAATAAAGGGTTTATTTCCTCTTAGGAAACTTAAAGTTTGGATAAAATATATCAAGCAAAGAAATTCACTATTTTTTTGAAAGAAATTCTAAGTGGTTACTACTTGTATAACAAGATTGCTGCTGATTTTTCCATATCATTGTTGCATCCAAAATATTTCTAAATTCTTTTACTATTTCTATAGTTTGTGGATTCCTTTGGATTTTCTATATAGACAATTACATTGTCTACAAATAAGGATCATTTTATTTCCTGTTTCCGATTCTTATTTTCATTTCTTTAACTTGTTTAACCACATTTTCTAGAACCTTCAGTACAATGTTGAATAGAAATCATGATATTAGTCCTCCTTGTCTTCTTCCTGACTTTAACGGAAATGCTTCTGGAGTCTCTATTAGTATAATGTTGGCAGTAGTTTTGTTTTTTGTGATTAACTTTTATAACGTTAAGGAAACTCCCTTATATTCAATCTTCAGTAAAAGTTTTAAAATTAATAAATACTGACTGTTGTTAAATTCAAATTTGTTGAAATGATCATATGGCTTTATTCCTATAATCTGTTAATGTGGTAAATTATATTGATATAATTCCAGATATTGAACATTTCCTACACTTCTGTGATGAGCTTTACTTGGTCATGATTTAGCTTGCTTGTTTTAAGTACCGTGGTTATTCAATTTGCTAATATCTTATTTAGTAATTTTACATCCATGTTCTTAAGCGAAATTGGTCTATAATGCTTTTTGTCTTGTTCCTGTTCAGTTTTGATATTGAGATTACCCTAGAATTATAAATGAATTGGGTTGCTTCCCCTACTCTTCTATTCTCTGAAACAGTTTGTAGAAGATAAGAATTGTCTGTTCCTTGAAGATCTGCTAAAATTCATCTGTAAAATTATCTTCAATTTTCTAGCATCTTGGGGATATGGAGATGGGATGAAGGAGGAAGAGACGTTAATTGTTAATGGTTTCTTCAGACTTTCCACTTCTTTTTGAGTCAGATTTGGTAAATTATACTTTTTTCCTAGAAAATCATCCATTTTTATGCCAAATATACTGGGATAAAATATTAGTAAAGTTTTCATAATGAAAAAAATAGAAACATACTATAATTTTAACCACTTTTTCATTTCTAATACTGTGTTTTACTCTTTTTTTCTTCATCAGCCCTAGTTACAGGTTGGTCTTCTTATAAGTTTTCAAAGAAATAACTTTTAGTCTTGTTGACCCTCTAATGTTTCTTTGCTATCTATTATACTAATTTCAATTCTAATCTATAATACTTTCTTTCCCTGTTTTAAGGTTTTATTGTTCTTCTAGTTCCTAAAGGTGAAACTTTCATGCATTTATTTTCAATGTTTTTTAAAAAAGAACATTTTGAGG